GGCATCCGAGCTGGCAGACCTCCCCAGACCCGCGGCAGGCCGCAAACCCCGACCTGCTCCGCATGTCGTCTCCTTGTACCAACCTGCGTCTCCGCATCTCTCCCGCACTTGTTCGGAATCACACGTGCTCATGCCTGTGTCTTTGCCTCAGGCCCTCGCCTCTCAGAGGCTACACGGGCTTGGGCCAACCTCGAGGTGTGTCAAGGGCTCGGCAGAAGTTAAGAGCGGGGCCGAGACCGTTGAGAAGTCGCTTGCGCAAAAGTAGATTCATTCCAGTAGGGTTCGCTGCTTGCCCGAGAATCGCCTCAGCCCTCCCTCCTGCCCGGGAGCACCGTGACGTACTCCCACGCCCCTCGCTGTAAGCGCGGGGCTAGGCTCAGCCGGCACCTGTTGCCCGGACCTGTCCCAGCAGCCCCCGACACGCGGCCTTCCCTCCTTGCCGGGCGGGACTTTCTGAGGGCTGCTCCAGCCAGTCTCACGTGCCTTAAAACAACAGGGACGGATTCTGTCCGCGTTCTGAAGGCTCTGAAGTCCGGCCACACCACAGTCTGTCTGGAGGCTTCAGGGGACGGTCCCCTCCCCCTCGCCCAGGCAGTCCCTCTTCACAATACCCCCCACCCCCACCCCGCGTCTGAGCGATCTCCCTCCTGTAAGGACACTAGTCATTGGGTGTAGGGCCATCCTGAATCCAGAATAAGCTCATCGTCTCAAGAGCCTGGCTTGATTACATCTGCAGAAACCTGTTTCCAAACCAGGTCGCATCTCCTTGGGGACCCACCACTAGCCCCTCACAGCGGGTGACTCCTACTTGCTGGCTGACCATCCTGCCCCCAAAGGCTACAGGACCTACATGCACTCTCAGATCCTTCTGGGCTCTCTTCACCTCTCATCTGTCCTGGTGGTCTTTTGTGGGGTGCCCGGGGGTGTTCTGGCCAGGCTGAGCTCTCTCTCCCGGCCTTCCCTCTCCCTACTTCCAGCTTATTGCTCTCCGCCGCCAGGTGCTCCCGTCCCCGCCCTCCGAAGAGCAAGGCGGGGCCTCGTCTACCTTCCCCAAATGGCAGGTCGCCCTCTGTGAGGTTCTGGCTCTTCCCGGGGCGTCCCTGGGAGTTCCCTGCCCTTCGGCACCCGGAGCGCTTCCTGTGGGCTTTCCCGGCTGGCTGCGAGGCAGGCCGGACAGCATCTCCCCTCCCGGCCGGCTGGAGGGTGAAAGCTGGGAGGACGGTGCTGTGGGCTGAGCGCTCTGGTGGGTGTGCGGGCAGAGGCTCACAGAAACCTCCCTGACCTTCCGCGGTGGCCTTTCCGACTGTAAGCCTGCTTTTCCGTCTGTTCACTCGTACGTCCTCGTCTGCTGCGGGGACATCTGCGCGAGCCTCAGGTGGTTCGGGGACCCACCATCCTGCCGTTCTTGCCGGCGTGGAGGGCGTCTACCAGTCCCCGCCTCCGACAGGTGCCTGCTCCCGTGGGAGCGGCTCGTCTTCACAGCCAGACCTCGGGCTGGACTGTCTTGTGCTTTTCTTTCATCCCCAACAAGGGTGAATAAACCTTTTAATCGTTCATTCAGGTCTGTCCTGAGCTCCTGCTCCCTGCCAACACCTGCGCGGCCTCCTGCGGCCTCCACCTTCGCGGGGAGACATGTTTGCCCGTGAGCATCTCCAGATTTCCTTCGCTCGAGCTGAGTGTTGCAAGAGCCTGACGGCTAAGAGCAGCCCGCCCAGCACCGGCTGGCACGGCGCTGGGCTCTGCTGGGCTCGCCGCCTTTCCTGGCGCTGTGGGCAGTCTCTTTCGGGTGTCCTGTGGCCACCTGCTGCGTCTGAAAGTTAGGGTTCCTGCACTTTGCCACCTCTAGGCTCCACCGTCTCCCACCACGTAAGAGTCCTGTTGAGAGTCCCACAGGCACCCGCTGGGGAGCCTCCCTGACCGGGATGGGGGCCAGGCAGCTGGGGACCGGGGTTGTGGTCCTGGGGTCCTGCAGGCAGCTGCTGGGGAGTCCCCCGGACCCAGACCCAGGCTGCAGGGCTGTCGGCCGGGGAAGCAGGCACCAACCACCTGTACCTCCACCTTGAGGTGCACCCAAGTGAGGGTTACCTGTTTCCGGACTTCCATCAGCGTCTCAAATCCAATAAAGATCTTGTTTTCTATTATTAGGGAATTACCAACCCTGGCTCTGTCTGAGGTTGGACCAAGCATGAGTGGAGGTGGAGCAGCTGGCCGGCCAGTGGCTGGTGGCCACGGTGAGATTTGTCACCGCACGGCCGGGTCCTCTGCAGCCAGTGGTCCAGCAGGCAGGCTGTGTCCTGCTCATGGGGGTGGGAAGCAGAAGCACCAGCCTGTGGCCACAGTGGGGGTTGGCGGGGAGGGGATGAAACAAGGTCCCGGAGCCGCAGACCATTACTCCAGCTGGGAGGCGCAACCACGTTTTATGGGTCAGTTCGAATACAAAGTCCTGTAGATGTTAGAATGTGTACGAAATCTTGTGCTTGTGGTGCCTTGGGTTCCAGATTAGTTGACTGGTCACTCCGTATGTCACAGTGTCCTTTCCTGGAGGTAGGAATGCCCAGCAGAGTAAATACTTTACTTCTCTCTATTTTTCTAGAACATTCCGAAGAGTCACTAGAAGTTGTTCTGAAGACAGTAAGCCTGGAGAGATGCGTTTTGTGTGAAGTACAGGGGGGCTTGGCTTTGTGTGCCCTGGGCAGCCCCCGACAGTGCCCACCGGCCGTGCGCTGGGCCGTGGCCCACCTGGAGCTGCCCAGGGCCGGAGCAGGAGGGGGTCTGGCGCACGTCCTCCGGTTTGCGTGTTGGGCCTGCCGGGCGGGAGGGTCCTTTATTCCTCCCAGATGTTTTCGTGCAGGTGCAGTCAGTACCTAGTCTTTGCTTTGAGTCAGAGAATAGCGTGTTTCTCGTGTTGGTCTTCAGAGGAAGGAGCGACGGGGACATGCGGGCGCTGGAAGCAGCTGCTTCTCTAGGGCATCAGATGTGGGGAAACTCGCTTTCACTTTGGTGCTTAGCGATGACGTCGAGTTTCTGGCCGTGGAAACCCATGGTCTCTGAGGATCTGAAATGTGGGCACACTTACCGTCCAGGCCTTCCTGATGAACAAGTGAATGTAGAAGCAGCGTGTTTGCATTCAGCTGGGTCATTTGCTGCGGGTCAGCACGGGAGCCTCCCCGCACGTCCCCTGAGCAAGCTGTTTTCCCACTTCTCACAGCTGCTGTCCTGTTGGGTCCTCTTCTCCCCCACCTGTCTTGCCCTTCAGTCTGCAGCCGCAGCCGAGTAAGCGCGAGCTGCCCCATGGCACCCATTCCTGGAAACGTGCTTGCCACGGATAAGATCGCAACAAATCTTTCTTTCCCGATGATTTAATGCATGAAGAAATATTTCTTTAATGATGAGTTAATGAAGGGCGGAAGGTAACCGAAGACCAAGTCGGTGATCTAGGAAAGAAACCCAGAAATACTTCGTAAAGTAGAGTAGGAATAAAGAGTTGGAAAAATTAGGGAAGGCTCACATCATGGGACTGGCGTGGACGCGACTTGAAGGGCTGTAAGCACCATGAAGGAGAAATGAAGAAAACAAAACCCTGCAACCAGAAAGAAATATTCTGGTAAAATGCTAGAAGCGAACTTTTTCCCAAGAGGGACACAAGATGGCTTGGCTTATGAAGGAGTGCGGAACCCAGTTGTTTCCTGACTTCCCGGTGCCCAGGAGAAGCTGGAGTGCTCAGCTCTGCGAGGGAAAGTGACCGTACATCCGTGAAGCCAAACGGACATTCCTCTTTGGGAGGACAACGGTCCTGCCACGATGCAGTCCTGGGACCCGGACCCCCTCTCCCACAGAGACAGCTAAGGAGCCGGATGCCGGGCGAGGGGGACAGTTTGGATGTTGGGCAAATGGCATTTTCGCTTTGTGACCCCAAGTAAGGGAAGCAGACCCGGGAGCTGCAGTGGTCCTGATTTTGTTCTGCAGGTGTGTGGGTGGCAAGGGGCAGGAGGGCTCCCAAGTGGGGCCTGGAGGTGGGAGGGGAGACAGAGATTGCTGTTGGGAGTCTGAGGCCGCTGCTGGTGGGTTCTGGAGAGGAAGGGACTTGCCAGCACTCCCGCAAGCCGTGCGAATAAAGAGGGGTAACGCCCTGGGTTCAGGCGGAGGTGAAGGGGCCCGTGTGGGGCTGGGAGGCATTTGAACCCCTGCCAACCCGGTGGAGATCCTTGTTCCCATTGGAGGTTCTGTGCGGACTCAGAGGGCCACACCTATGTGGTGGGACAAACAGTCCCTGGACAGAGGCGGCCTGAAATTCCTAACGTCCAGCCGGTGCTCCCAGTCGGCGTGCCAGGAATAGGACGATGGGACCCACGGCCTGGAGAAGGGACAGTCGGGAGAAGCACAGTCGGATGGCAGGGGTGACAGGATGAGGGGAAATGGTGGTCCTGGAGCTTGTGTGACCAGCTGGGCTCCAGAAGTTGAAGCGAACCAGGGAGCAGGACAGTTGTGCCGGGACCTGTGGGAGGGATCGGAGTCTTCTGCTGGGCGGCGTGCGTGGTACGGAGCCCATGGTGTCTGCTGGGCGGCGTGCGTGGCACGGAGCTCATGCACAGGCTGGGTCTGCAGGCCCCTCCGTTGTTGGGGCCCCCGTTTTCCCACCTGTAACATGGCCTCATCGCAGCGCCTGGTCCGTCAGCTCCCAGGGGAGCTGAACTCTCAGGACGTGAAGGCAGCGGCCTCGCCCCCGGGAGGTCCCAGCAACCTGTGCCCCTCAGATAAGACAGCTGTGTCCTGAGGGCAGTGCTTGCACTCTCCTGCCCCCACGTGTCTTCCGGTTGCAATTCGGTGCACCCGTCCGTGTTTATTAGGAGCGTCTGGGCCACGGGTGACCGAAGCCACCCAGGGCTCATGGCCCTTGGCCCTGGCTGTGGACAGCCACCTGCCACGGCCTCACAGCCACCTGGGGAAGCTGCCTGTGGGCCCCTCCCACCCCGCTCCTGACGCCCCGTCTCTCTCCTCAGCATCCTCGAGTGCCAAGGCCTCCCCATCGTGAACGGGCAGTGTGATCCTTACGCGACTGTGACACTGGCCGGACCCTGCAGGCAAGTACTCTGTGCATGGGGCGGGTGGGTAAGTCGCCCGCTGTGACGATGCTGGGGCTTCCACAGAAATGCAGGAGAGGCTGTGCGCTGGGATGTGGCGTTCTGACTTACTCTGGTCTCCTCTGTGGCCCTGAGATTGCTTTCTGGAAACAGCCCCTCTCTTCTCCACGCTGGGTGCCTTAGGCTCAGTAAAGCTTCCTGATTTGCATACTGTGTGGGTTGGAGGCAAACAGAAATATGTATAAGTAGCAGGAGGAGGTTACTGGTGCATTTGATCACTCAGTCTGAAGGTGCAAAGACTCGGTGTCAACAGCGTTGGTTTTAACCTTAACCCTTCCTCCTTGGTTACAGATCAGAAGCAAAGAAGACAAAAGTGAAAAAGAAGACCAACAACCCCCAGTTTGATGAGGTGTTTTATTTTGAGGTTGGTATTTGAGCCCCGTGAATGTCACATGGAGACCTTGGGGAAGGCGTGTTTCCGGCCCTGGGCCCCGGCTTCCTCCTGCAAGTTCTGGAATGACCCCGGCACGAGGCCTCCCTCCCAGCCTGCGGCGTCAGCCGGGCTCCCAGGAACTCCCCTCTGGCCCCTGGGGAGAAAGGCCATTTGTTGCTTCCTTGGTTTTGAGTTGAATCCTGACGAGTTGTACTTCCCAAGTTGTCACGATCGGCGTGTTTTTCACTGTTTGCCTGTTTGGGGTTTTGGTTTTCGCTTGCTTCACCCGGTCTTTCCTGAGCAATGGAGGGAGGCTTGTCTCCCCAGAAATAGGGAGGGGTCTTGAGGCAGAAGAGCAAATGCGTTTGAACCCAGAGATCCCCTGGTGTCCTCTCAGGACTGGGAACCGCTGACGTTAGTGAGATGGGAGGCCTGCGGGCCGAAGGCCATCGACAGGACAGTAGCAGACGTGGCTGCTTTAGTGTGACCCTGGCCCAGAGGCAGTGTATTTGGGGTGATGTTGTTTCCACCCACGAGGGTTTCTCGAGGGTCTCCTGTGGCCCGGGTCCTGGGGGCTGAGGGTGAATGAGGCTCTACCCCTGCATTCCTGAGTTTGCCCCAAGCAGGGAAGCGTGCGCAGGGTGGGTCGTGCTCGTGGGGAAGTGACTGTTAAATCAGTGGCCCTGGGGAGCCACAAGCAAACAGCCCCCAGTCCTGCCTGGAAGGAGTCTTCCCGGAACGGCGACCCTTGGGTGCAGTCTGGGAGGGGCACAGTGAGGCTGCACGGAAGCGTGTCTCTAAACGTTGGGTGAGGTTGGGGTGAGAAGGGGGAGTTTTGGAAGTCGGGGACTTGGCTCAGAACCGATGCGCTCACGTGCGGAGGACCTGGACATGTTCTGACAGATCCAGAAGCCCACAGGTTTCTAAAACACAGGAGGCTGCGGTCAGGCTTCTTGGGCCGTGGTGAGGGGCGTGGAGTCGGAGTGCCAAGGGCACAGCACCGTTCTCTGTCCCAGAAAGACATGCTTATTCCATCACCCAGTGCAGAAAGTGGGTAAAAGACTCAGGGTTGGTCAGGAAGCTGAAGCGGTCAGCCTTCTCTCCGGGGGAGGGGGGCCATGGCGGGGCTCCAGCAGCAGGGAAGGGGTCTGGGACGGAGAGTAAGGACAGCTGTTGGTCTGAATTCTGTACTAGAGCCGCACCGGCCTGCCTCGTCCCTGCAGCCTGGAACGGCTGAGGTCAGCTCCTCCCAAGCTTGCGTTGCGCACAGTAAGGCCCAGGCTTTTTGCTGCCGTGTGGGCCTCCTGGATAGTGACACCCACTTTCTGTGTCATATTCTTCTCTTTTACTCTGCAAAAACGTGGGGCTCCACTTGCTAGATGAGTCTCGCCAGCCCCACATGCCGCTGAGCACAGACCTGCATCCTGCAGGGTCCCAGGGACGGTCCAGACCTGGGCCCTCGGTGCTGTGGCTAGGGCCTACCTGACACCTGCCTCCTTCACAGTCTCAGACCATAGGACCTTGGAATGTGCTTCTCTCTGGAGTTTATGGTCTGAGACTCAAAGGTCTGAGCCCTGCTTAACACCTAAATCCCCATTTGGATTCTCTGCACCTGCTTTCTCCTTCTCTTGCCAACAACCCCACAGTTCTGACTTAGCCTGAGTCCCAGTGGTTGGCTTTGGGGTCATAGGCAGCCTCCTATAGGGGTTTCACAAGGAAGTAGTGTCCGAACCATTTTCTTCCAGGGTAATGCCTAGGCTTCCTTAGAAACTCTTCAGTATCTGAACGAAGTTATTTGAGGTTCTACGGAAGCCATCTTCATTCCCTCCCTAGATGCGTTAGGTACCCATGCAGAAGCCCTGTGACCACCTCACTAGAAGCCAGACCGTGAGCTATGTCAGATGGTGGAGGCTCTGGGGGGTTTCCTGGAGGAGGTGGCATTTCAGAGTCACCTTCAGGCTTCCCAACACGGGCCTGAGCGAGGAAGAGGCCGGTGATGAACTGGGCAGGGGTGCAGGCTGTGTGCTGGGTGAGGGGAACTAGTGGGGGCTCCACGAGGCTTTCAGAAGCCTCAGCTGGCAGTGGACGAGGCCTGAGCCGGCTGGCGGCTGAACGGGTCCCCTGCTTGCGAGGTGTCAGCACCCCAGGCGGCCACCGAGCTGTAAGGGCAGAGGTGCTGAGATGGGAAGGTTGGGGAGGAGCAACTTTGGGACACAGGGAGGATGGGAGGGGACGCGCCTGGAGCTATGGGGCTGAGGAGGGAGGGAGCTGGCTGGATGCCCGCAGCCGGGAGGTGGTGGCGTTAGGCGGGGTGAGGCAGAGCCCCGCCCATGCCCCAAGCCCCCTGGCGAAGAGGCTTCAGCCGTGCCTGCAGGCTGAGACCCCACCTCTGCTCTGGGTGGGGGACCCGCAGCCTTTCCCCAGGCCTGGGGTGGCCAGGACACAGGGTGCTCTGCGGGCAAGGGCGTGGCACACACGGGCTTCCTCCCGTCCGCCCCTCCAGGTGACCAGACCCTGCAGCTACAGCCGGAAATCCCACTTTGACTTCGAGGAGGAGGACGTGGACAAACTTGAGATCCGGTGAGCGAGAAGCAGGGTTTCTGGGCTCTGGCCTGGCGGCTACAGCCTGAGCCCACCTCGTCTGTTGGTTTTCTGTGCTTCTAAAAGAAAGGGAATGCAAAGAAAGGAATTTTCAGTTTTCTGGTAACTTCAATACTAGGACATGGGGAGTTGGCTTGAAGGAAGAGCCAGGAACTTGCCAGGGGCTCGTGGGGTGGCTGAGAGGACATTGACTCGGGCAAGGGACGGTGTGGTTTTAGTGCCGTACCTTCCGCAAGGGGAGGCCGACGGCCTCATGCTGCCCCCCGCACCTGTCCCTGCTGCCCGGAGGTCCTCGCGCTCCAGGCCTGGGTGTGTGTGGTCTGCAGCAGAGCCCACCGCAGCTCCAGCCGCATCGGTCCTGGGAGCCTCAGGGTCTCACCTCACGCCCAAGCACCTGGTGCCCTCAGAGACCCTAGCTGGGCATCTTTTCCCGTCGCTCTGGCCCGGGGCTGACCTTGAGGGACCCTGCAGATCTGAGCTGGCTTGCAGTCTGGTTTCCTGTGGGCTCCCAGGCTTCCCACTGGGAAGATGGGGCTCAGGCGGGAGGGGGCGTAGCCGGAGGCCCTTCCCCCCACCCAGTGTGGGGTCCTTGGGCTCGCTCTTTGTTCCTCTCGTGGCTTCAAGCGCTGAGGGAGGCCAGTCTCCACACACAGGTTGAGGTGTTTCCGCTTTAAGTCTTCCATTAGAGAGAACCTGCGGCTGCGTGTCTGAAAGTGCTGGTGGCGGTCAGAGGCCGTGCTGGAGGTTGGCCATGCCCCAGCCATCCTCAGACACACAAGTCTCTCTCTTGTCCAGAAACAGAAGTGTTCATACAAGATTGGGCTTTAAATTTGAGAGTGAGTCCTAGCTGTTGCATTTTAAGCAGACGAACCAAAAATGTTCTTGAATGTTGCCCTTATTGAAAAGAAGGAAAGACAGCCTGGCAGCTCTACTCCGGGGCCGCTTGGTGAATTAAAGGTTCTGCTTTCCTTATTCTGAAAGTGCCATGGGGCCACGGTTCCTCATGTCCCTGACGCATACGTGCTCCTCTAGTAAACCCTGTACCTTCCAGACACCTGTGGCTCCCGTCTGGACCTCGGGGGCCACAGAGGGCTGACGCGGCCTTCTAGAACTTTCCCCATGACTGCCGAGGGTGGTGAGAGGGGACTGGTCTTGGGCTGTCCACTCCTGGAGTAATCTGGTGCAGGTGTTTACCGTGGGGTGCGCGGATGTTTGCTGCCTCGCACCGGGGACGCCGTTCCTCTCTCCGTGCTCTCGTCCTCACACACGCACAGTTGCCGTGGCCCCACATCAGAGGGAACACCGAGAGTGCCGCCCTGGGGCACCGTCTTCCCATGCTGTTGAGAAGACCGAAGGCCCCTCACCCTGACACCAGGCCCCCAGCTCCTCTCCCTGCCCCCAAGGCCCAGGGAGACCCCCGTCTCCGTGCCAGGCACATCCTGCGCTGACCACACATTTCAGACATCCCCAGTCGGTGTCGCTCCTCACAGAGAGGGGGCCATGGGACCAGGGGCTCTGATCTGCCCCAGATGCCCCTGGGGATGCTGAGGAGTGCTGCTGTCCCCTGCCCTCCTGAGGTCACCCCATACGGAGATCTGTGTACCATTGGCTGTTTTTCAGAGTTGACCTCTGGAATGCCAGCAACTTGAAATTTGGAGATGAGTTTCTGGGAGAGCTGAGGGTTCCACTAAACGTGCTCCGCCAGTCCAGCTGCTACGAGGCCTGGTAAGGCGTCTGTGCATGGCCCACGCCGCCCTGGAGGGTGGACAGACAGAGCTGCCCTGAGCAGCCCGAGTGTGGTGGCGCAGGTCGGCTCCCACTGGCCAGACGCTGTGGCTTTGCATATGGTCCCTATTTGCTCTGGCGAGGTGACAGGGTTGCCGGTGAGAAACAGGCGGCGCACGGCTGCCGTTTTGGCAGGCGGGGGCGGGGGAACGTCACGAGAATGGTGGCTGAGGCCGTCGACAGACACAGAGGCAGGGCCATGAGAGCCTTGCAGCTTTGAGGACAGGCCCAGGCAGGGAGGGCAGGCCACGTGCTCCTGAGGGCCCGCCACGCCAGGCCTTCCCCAGGGCCCATCCTCCCAGGAGCCACCTGCCCAGGAACCAGGCAAACCTCCCCACGCTCTGCCTCCAAGCCCACCCAGTGCCTTTGTTTTATTTCCTGATCGTTTCGCAAATCAGCAGCAACTGTCATCGCTGTGACCACAGACACCCACGATGGGGACATGGCGCGGTCACAGGCCATATGCCACAGGCCAGACCCACCATGTGGGTGGGCTTCTGTGTGTGGTTCCTCACGGCAGTTTACAGTCACCGGGACACGGGAATTTGTCTTCAATTCCATGAGGACAGCGGGTTCTGTTCCTGCTGGGGGCACTCCTAGTCCTGTCACCAAGAAGGGACAGTTACACGGCAGTCCAGTGGATGTCCACCCAGGACCTCAGGTGCCCTGCCCAATGCAGGGTGCCCACGTCCCATGGCAGGCTGCGTGGCCCGTCAGCTCAGAGCAGCCAGGGTTCCCGCACGGCCTCGCGGGGTGGGACCAAAGACAGGAGAGTCCAGTGAGAAAACCGCGAGGATGGGACCCCGTGCTCCAGTGGCTGGCCTGCTTCCCAGCGCCGTCGGCATCCCCTCTGCCACCGGGAGCTCCGGCGCTCGTTTGCCGGAGTAATGTCAGCTCTGCTCTCGCTGCCCTCCGTTGTCCGGGGCCCGTCTCCACAGACGGGGTTCCCTTAGCTCCTTTCTCATTTCCCTCTTCTCGAACTCCTACTCCTTCCATCCTTCCATCCTTCCTGTGTAATCAGCCCCCAGAGGGAAGATAAGGTGGGGGGCACCCACGACACGCACCCCGCAGGGGTCTCTTGCTGAGAAGGGCTCTGGCGCCTGGACCCCGTGTGTTGTGGGGGTGCCGTGGGGAATGACCGAGCATGCCCCCACACTCGGACCCTGCAGAGGTGGGGACTCCCACAAGAAACACCCTGCCGGGGGGTCAACAGGGAAGTGGCCCCAGCGCAGGGGGCAGAGAGGTGTCTAGTAGAACTTCCTGGAGCCCCTCCTGCCTCAGACCCCGACACAGCCCATGACAGGCGACCAGTGCATCCTGGAGAGAACCGGCCCCTGGAGGGTGCTGCCGCCTCACGCCGCCCTTCCCTTGTGTCCCACGTCCAGGTACTTCCTTCAGCCCCGAGACAACGGCAGCAAGAGCCTGAAGCCGGGGGACTTGGGGTCCCTGCGGCTGAACGTGGTGTACACTGAGGACCACGTCTTCTCGTCCAACTACTACCGCCCGCTGCGGGACCTGCTGCTGAGGTCTGCGGACATGGAGGTGCGTGAGTGCGCGGGCTCCTGCTGTGTCCTGGGCGCCTGCAGCCCCCGCCAGTGAGCCAGACCCCATGGCCCTCCAGACCCCCGCGGCCCTCCAGACCCCCACGGCCCTCCACGGCTGGCTGCTGACCCCAGCTCCTCTCCTCCGGCCCCCCGCCCACTTCCCGGCTCTGGACCCCAGCTCCGGACCCTGGTCCCCCAGTCCTATCTGGCTCCAGCCCCCCACCCCAACCCTGCCCCTGACTTCTGAGTCCCATGCCTCGGTCTGGCTCCCCCCTCACCCCGGCTCAGACCCCAGCTTCAGCCCTCAGCTCCCTCATCCTTATTTAGCTCCACCCCATAGCCCCTCCCAGCTGCCCCCCGCCCACATCCACCCCCACAAGGCACGGAGCCCACCTCTGGCCCTGCATCTGGGTAGCCAGCTCCTGGTGGGTGGCTTACTGTCCCCCAAGTCTGCTCTGTGTCCAGAAATACCTGCATCTCCCTTTGCTGGAGGGATAGAGCCTCCCGCCCCACACCCCACCTGCAGTTAGAGCCCTGCGGGGACCCAGCAAGGCTCATGGTTTCAGATTTGTATGAGGCCCTGAGGTCATCGACCTTAGTTCTAGAGGTGGAATCGGGTGGAAGGACCCCGAGGAACGGACCTGGAGCTCGTGTACAAATCAGAGGGTTTGACGTGGGCTCTAGAAAAGATGTGGTTCTTTGCTTAGCTTGCTGGGAGAGGCACTACGGGACAGAGTTGGGGTCCGGGCCCCCGGCGTGGGGACCCTGAACCACCTACTCACTGACCATGCCCGGTGGGGAGTGGGGGTCTGCAGCCAGCCCCCAGAGCTGGGGGGCTCTTGCTGGGGTTCCATGTTCTCTCCCGTCGCACAGCCAGTGTCAGCATCCGCCGCGCACGTCCTGGGCGAGGTCTGCAGGGAGAAGCAGGAGGCGGCCGTCCCCCTCGTGAGGTTCTTTCTGCACTATGGCCGAGTGGTGCCCTTCATCAGTGCCATCGCCAGCGCCGAGGTCCAGAGGACCCAGTGAGTGACCTCACCTCCCCGAGGGCTGCGGCCTGAGCCAGGGACCACCCCGTGGTGAGGGCCGGCCTGGGGCAGTGCCCTCAGCGCTAAAGAGAGTGCAGAGCTGGGACAGCAGAGGGGACCCGTACCGGCTCAGGTGTTCTGTCCGAGACACGCTGTTTCTTAAAAATGCACCTTTTTTGGGAAATCCCAAGGTGTGAGTGCAGGAAGGAGGTGAACAAGGGCGCAGTTGCCCCGGGGGTGATCAGAGGGCGGCAGCTTCAGTACTAGGCCCACAGCAGAGGGCCGGGTCATGGCTGCCCCAGGACCTGTGCCCACTCTGCGGGGATGGGTCTGCCAAGAAGAGTCTGTCCCTGGAGCTCTGGGTTCAGAATCTGGGTTCAGATCCAGATTGCACCCGAGTGGAGAGATGGCGTGAAGCATGTCCTGTTACGTTCGACCCTGCTGGACCTCCCGGCTGACCTTGGGTCTGGTCCTTAGAGGCAATAACTTGGTGCGAAAGGGGCCTCACAAAGGGGCGGGGCTGTGGGTGTGGGGAGGTTGTGCTGAATGGTCCAACGGCGGAATTCGGTAGGTGTGTCACACACGCCCGCCTGAGGGGCTCAGGATGTCCCGATGCGAAACATCTGGCTGGGTCTCGTTTTCCTCTCAGAACATCTGGAAGCAGACAAGCAGGGTGAGCTGGGTCTGTCTCTGCATCCGCTGGGCGTGTGCCGAAGGTCGCGCTTGGTGTCCATCATCCCCTTGCTCTCCAAGACAGACCTGCCTCCAACGCTGTTTTACAGGGACCCCAACACCATTTTCCGAGGAAACTCGTTGACCTCCAAATGCATTGACGAGACGATGAAGCTGGCCGGGATGCACTACCTGCACGTGACCCTGAAGCCCGCCATAGAGGAGGTGAGTGGGGGGGTCCCACCCTGCGGCCCCCAAGGACTGGGCACATCAGGGTCTCCAGCAGGCCCAGTGCTGCTGCGTAGGGGCGTGAGGGACGCTCGACCCCCCCATGACACTGCAGGTGGACAGCAGGCAGCTCTGACCCCTGCCCCCCAAGACATTGCACGCGGACGGCAGGCAACTGAGACCCCATCCCCCATGACACTGTGCATGGACGACAGGCAGCCGTGACACCCGCCCCCCATGACATTGCACATGGACGGCTGGCAGCCGTGACACTCCCCACAACACTGCACATGGACGGCAGGCAGCCGTGATCCCCTCCCCGCTATGACACTGCACGTGGACGGCAGGCGGCCGTGATCCCCTCCCCGCTATGACACTGCACGTGGACGGCAGGCGGCCGTGCAGAATGGGTGGCACGCAGGAGCCCCTGACTGAGGGGCTCATGCCACCTCCTCCCCAGCCTCACTGCAGGGACCTGCCCTGTGTGCTCCAGGATCTTTCTCATTGTCTCAAATTAAAAAAACGTTTACTTAAGAAAGTTCTTCATTCTACTCAAGACAGACACGCAGAGAAACACTGTTTTTTCGGAGAATACCCCTTTCTTTCAGCTGTGGGTCCCCTGAACCCGCGTGCAGCGTTCTCTCTAGGGTCCTCTCGGCTGTGCGTGGCCTTCTGGTACCGCTCACGCCGGGGCAGGCGCAGCCGAGGCCCCCCATGCTTCCTCCCCCCGGCCCCGAGTGCCCTGCCCGACCTCTGTGGGGTCCCTGAGGGGCAGCAGTTCCCTCAGAGCAGCTTCATCAAGTGCAGGAACGTGAGGAAGTTTAGACTCGCGTTCTGGTTTGATCCGTGGGCGCAGACCTGCCAGCACTTGGGAGGAACCACGTTTTTAACCCTGATGAAACCTGGTCACGTGCACTGATGGGGAGCGGTCTTCGAGAAGGTCCAGAATTCCTCACAGGCCGTGGCGGCACCCGTGGCCGTACCGAAGGCCCTCCTCCCCCTGCCGTGGAGGGCCTGGCTGTGGCTCCCGAGGTCGCTCCCAAGCCCAAGGCCCCTGACCTCCACCCACCTGGGATCCTGGACCAATGGTCATTCACTCCTTGTAAATGCACTTTCCAGATATGCCAGGGCCACAGACCCTGTGAGATCGACCCTGTGAAGCTGAAGGATGGGGAGAACCTGGAGAACAACATGGTGAGACGTTCTCGTCTGCTCAGCACTCTCCAGAGCTGGCTGCCCAGCCGCAGGAGCTGGGCACGTGGCCACCTTGGGGGCTCCGCGTCTCTCTAGGGTTTGGGGTGGGACCCTACTGGGACGCTCTCTCGGCGTGTCCTCCGGGGCCAGCAGCAGGGAGACCAGCCCTTTGGCTGCTGACTCCTGTGCCGTCCCTTCTCCTGGGGTGACCGGAGCCTCCCCACCGGGCTGGCCCGTGACCCGGCTTCTTCCCAGTCTGGTCCATCCTCCTGTGGCAGCAGACATGGGTCCCAAACCCTGGCTGTGTCCCCTTGTGTTCTCCTGAAGAGGGTCTGTCTTTAGGACAACCAGACTCTCTGATGGGACAGGAGCTGTCATCTTCCATAGGGTTTCCTCAGGGTAAGTCTTTTTCATGCCTGTGAGGGAAAGAGATGGGGCTCTCTGTCGGAAGGTGCATTCTGGGGGGTTTCGTCCCTGTCCCAGTTAGTGAGATCAACGTTGGGGAGGGAACCGCGAGGCTGGCCCCCCGCAGAGCTGCAGGGGCTCGCCCGGTGCTCGCCCGCTGACGGCTGACCGCTACGGCCTCGTGCGCCTGCTGAGGGGACGTGCGTCTGTGGCCGCCACGCCTCTCCACAGCTGCTCCCTCCCTGGTGTGCTCGACTGCCGTGGGGGCTGGCAGGGCAGCCTGGGCCGCAGGGGCCCTCGGGGTGACCGGGCCGCACCCGTTGCAGGAGAACCTGCGGCAGTACGTGGACCACATCTTCAGCGCCATCACCAAGTCGGGGGTGAGCTGCCCCACCGTCATGTGTGACATTTTCTTCTCTCTTCGAGAGGCGGCTGCCAAACGCTTCCAGGGTGAGTCTTTGGTGTGGAAAACGTCCCAGGCTCCTTACGGGGAGGTCCCTTTCCCCACCGCCAGGCTCCTCGAAGCCAAGAAGGGACGTTGCGGAGTCCATGTAGACGTGGTTCCAGCTGTGGCCGCGGGGTGGGTGCCCGTGCACACACAGCATCCCTCTCCTGCCCGGCCGGGCTCCGGGTCGTGCCTGCCGTGGCCCCCAGGGGAACCCGGCCCAGGCCCCAGGTGGGAAGGCTGGCTGGCCAGATTTTGTGACAGTGGTTAGTTTAGGACGCAGCGGTAACTGCTGGGCGTTTGGGCCTGTCCAATCGGAGAAGCCGCCCTCCCGGTTCTTTGAGGCTCTGGCCGGAAGGTCAAGGCAGCAGTCAGCACCCCACGTTGTACACGTCTGTCTTCTGCACCTTCAAGAGAGACAGGATGATCCCTTTGTGGACGTGGGACAGGAGGGCTCCCGGGGATGAATCACCTTTTCAGTCGTGCCTGTTGGTTGGGGATTCATCGTGTGCAGACATGCCCACGGGTGGAACAAAGGTGGCCTGCTTGGGTGGCAAGTGTTAGGTTGACTGAGGCCTGGGGTCCAGGCTGAGGAGGGGGCAGTGCGGTGTCTGGGTCCCCACGCCATCCAGCAGGCCCCGACCAAGGCCCTGCCGCACCCTTTCCTGAGGAGCCCGTGGATCAGCCCAGATGTGTCCTGCTGCCTCCAGGGACCGCAGAGCCCCCTGAGCAGTCCCCAGACCCTGCCGGGAGCCCCTCCTGCCCGCCAGTGGGGATGCCTCTTAGCTTGTCTCACCGTGGAGGCTGGGCCTCACATCCAGCTCTGTGGACAGGCCCTGCTGTCTTCAAGTTCGTGGGCTTCAAGCTCGGGGCGCCCCGGCCCTCAGACACTCGGGGTCACTCGGGGTCGGCGAGCCAGGGCCTGCCTGTCATGGCCCCGTCCCCAGGAGACGCTGAGCTATTCGTGGTGCCAAAGGGGAGAACGAGCCGGCAGGTGCGCTGGCTCGGGCCAGGCCCGGGACTCCGCGCCCTCACCGGACGCCCTGTCGTGGCCGCAGATGACCTGGACGTGAGGTACACGGCCGTGAGCAGCTTCATCTTCCTGAGGTTCTTCGCACCCGCCATCCTGTCCCCCAACCTCTTCCAGCTCACGCCTCACCACACGGTAAGTGTGCGTCTGCCCCGTGGACTGGCCAACCCGCCCTCCTGGTGGCACCTTGCTGGGAGGCGGGGGGGCCGTGAACTCCTTTATCCACGAGAAGGGGGGCGCCTTGGCCAAGCTGCGTCTGTGGAGCACGGTTGGCCGCCGTGACCAGGGCCCCTCACTCCCACCTTGGGGAGAGCGAGCGCTGTCAGTCTGCCATGCATTCAGTCGCACGCGGTCAGCACGTGCAGCCCAAGCCCCTCAGGTCAGGCTCCGAGTGACGCACCAGCGGAGCGTGCCTGGCAGTGACTGACCTCGGCAGGAAGCCTGGGGCCAGGGGACTCAAGGGATCAAATGAACCCTCCAGGCCAGGGGACGGGCCAGCGAGCCCCGCCATGGGCGCCCGGGGCAGGGCGGGGAGGCTGCTCCTTTACAGGTGCCCTCGTGCCTGCCGTGGGCAGCTGCTCTCCTCACCCTGCCCTGCGCGCTGGCCGGCGCCCTGGGGAAGCGCTGGGGTCCAGCCCGCAGGGCCGAGAGCGCCAAGGAGGAGCCTGGAGGGACGTCCCGTGTCCCACGCTCTCCGGCCTCCTGTTGCTCACCAGCAGCACGCGGGGGCTGGGGGGCTTTTACGTGCTGTCGCCGTTTTGCCGGCCGTGCGATTCTGGGTTCAATCGCAACGTTTCTGTGGAACCGAAATGAGACTTGCCTTTCTCGTTCCCCTTTGACAGGACCCACAGACGTCGAGGACGCTGACGCTCATCTCCAAGACTATTCAGACTCTGGGCAGCTTGTCCAAGTCGAAATCCGTAAGTCATTTACTTTCACGGTGTCTGCTTGTCCCAGGAGAGAGTGTGGGCTCAACGCAGGGACAGGGTAAGAAGCAATAAAACCCACAAGGCCCCCACCCGCCGTCTGAGCAGAGAGAACGTTCCAGCGGCTTGCGGGCTCCTCTCTGCCTTCCTGAGCCGTGAAACGTTGCGTTTCAAGACTGTTTTGTTTGGGGGCACATTAGCCTTAGAGACTGGGCTTGCTTTCTGAGCCTGTACTCCGCTCAGGTCCGCTGTGGGGATGACCACGAGCCACAAATCTTCACAAGCCAGCACCGTGCAGGATGATGTCTCTTAACAAGCAGTAAAGACACAACATCCCCCAGACCAGTGGTGGGTTCACCCCGCTATGCTGCAGGCAAGGCCAGGGGGGAGGAGTTCAAATCCTGAGTCTTCCCTGGAGAGAACGGGTAGTGATGACATCGGCCCCGCCAAAAGTCAAAGTCCCTGTTGGTAGGGAACGCCAAGGTCTTGCTGGGCAAGAGGGTGACCTGGGGTACCACGGAGTTGCCCCTCCCAGGGCCCAGCAGTCCCCCGGCCAGACCAGAGCTCCTGTGTTTGGGCCAACGCGCTCAGCAGGGCAGGGCCCTCGGCCACAGGGCTCCTCAGCGGCATGGGGGGGGGGCCGTGCTCCCCTCACAACTCACTTCATTTTTCTCATGAACAAGTGGGTTTGAAACCCCGTCAGACCAACCTATGGCAGAGGGAGTCACAGGAGCACGTGGTGCGTTACCAGCTCCCAAGTGGGGGTTCAGGGCTGCGGGGGCCTCAGCTGAGAGCCTCTGAGGTTGTCTGTGCTTGAGGCAGATTTGCTGCCCGGAGCGGGCCAGGGGCTCCTCCGGGGGCCGCCTGCCGCACGCCATATCCTGCCTGGGTCCCGAGGGTCTATCCCGGCCCTCACAGCCCCCAGAACGCGGGTCATGACATGCAGGTTTGAGGACATTGGGGACTGTGTGTAGCGATGTCAACATGCGGATTGGCTGGGCACATGCCCTGGGGACTGAAGGCCAAGGCCAGCTGCACAGGGATGGGGCCAGTGGGGTGGAGTGAGGCCTCCCCTGTGCCTGGACCTGCAGGAGCCCCCAGCCCAGCCCAGCACAGCCCTCCCCTTCTGTTGTCTAGGGGGTCCCATCGCTGCCGACAAGCAGCCCCCGTGTGGGAGACACTGGGTAGATTGCAGCGGAGCCAAGCGTGTGTGGCGTCCCGCAGCAAGCGGCCACTCCACGGTCTGTCGGCCAGAGCCTGGATGAACGGGTCTGGGCTGGCTGTGAGTTCTGCGCGGACCCACCTTTGTGCGTCCGGAAACTGCAGAGCGACCTTCCGTGACACGGTGCTTGCTGCAGGCACAGCGTTGGGAGGGCTGCCCTCCGTGTGTCCCTGAGGGGTGCTCCGACGTCCACCTGTCAGGGCCCTCGCCAGCCTCCCGGTCCCAGGAGAGGCTCCCGTGTGGCAGCCTCGTGTGACCCGTGTCAGCAACAGAGACCTGGAACCCAGATGTCAGCCTCCATGCTCGCTGAGGGACCCCGACCTGTTTTCAGGGTTCAGACCCCGGCTTCCGGGGTTTCGTCTGCGTGGCTGTGCCTGCTTTTGTGGTTTCCATGGGCAGTGCCCGGGCTGACCCTGGGGCCACAGTTACACTGGCACCTCCACTTGCTGAGTGACCGCCACCGGAGCCGGTCGTGACGCGTGCCTCCAGATTATTTCCCTTGGAGCCATGTGCCCCAGACCCATAGGCTTTTGTTCAGTGACCTGTCTCATTTTAGGCGAGTTTCAAGGAATCCTACATGGCTGCATTTTATGAATTCTTCAACGAGCAAAAATATGCTGATGCAGTAAAAAATGTGAGTGCGGGTATCAGTTAACATGGACGGACTGCCCCCTGTCCTGACATGCTACTGTAGTTCCAGAAAATGGAGTAAAAATTCGCAGAATGTAGAACTGTCCATTACCCACTGTCCCAAGTTCAGAGCATCATTCCCTGGTAGTCCGTGACACCCCCCACGGTCCCTGAACTCTGCACCCCAAAACCCCCACGATCCCAGGACTCTCTGCACCCCAGACCCTGTGAACCCCTTGCACTCCCTTCTGTTCTGACCACCCCCTACAGTCCCCAGACTCCCTACACCCTGGGGACTGTGGACCCCTTCCAGACTCTCCTCTTTGGAACCGTCACGAGTTCTCCCTCAGTGCTGGGTGTTGTACTTCTCTCAAAGACTGCCCTGTGTTTCTTGCAAATCCCTTTCCTCGCCCTTCTGGCCATCTACTTCTGGGGCCCCCACAGATGCCTGAGTCATGGAGCCAGGGCACCCAGAATCAGGGACATGGCTCATGGAGAGAATCTTTTCTGGATCCTAAAGCTTTACTTTCTCTGTTGCGATTAGAAACACTCACACCTACTTACTTCTCAGAAATCATAAAAACCAGGATCCAGAAGGGGAGGAAGGGAGAGGAGCTGGGGCACACAACGGTTGGGGGAGGGAATCCAGACAGGTCATGGCAGTCGGATTAGGAGGGGAGGGCGTCCCGGGAGGAGAGCCCCTGCTGCTTCCCCTTCCTGCAGAGATGCATGCTTGGGTCACCTGTTGACGTGCACGTGGGCCTCCCAGGGTCACCAGAGGCCTGGCAGCCAGGTGGAGCGGTGGCTGCGGGTACAGGGTACCTCCTTGGCGGGGGCGGGGGATGTCTGCTGGGAGGCCGGGCTCAGGGTTGGACACTTCCCTCCTGGCCGCAGTAGGGACACGCTTAGGACCCCCTGATTCTTGCAGAAGGACCCAGATTCCCCTCTCTCCTGGCATCAGGAAGAGATGTAGTGTTCTGCTGTTTGTGTGTGAGAAGGAACGTAACCAAGTGTGCCATCTCCCCCTTAATTGTCTGCTGTCTTTCCCACCTTAGTTTTTAGATCTGATCTCATCTTCTGGGAGAAGAGACCCCAAGAGCATAGAGCAGCCCATCCTGCTTAAAGAAGGGTAAGGCCCACGTCTGCTGCTGGGCCAGCAGGAGCGAGACACGGGGGCGGCGCTCCTGACCGTCCCTGCCGTGAACTGGGGCATCTCTGCCCACGTGGCTGGTGACCTCCCAACTCAGAGGCAGCCAGACCCTTCAGGGGCTGTCCTGGCCTGGGACATCATGGTCTTTGTCCACATGTCTGATCCAGTAAGACTGCTCACAGTGCGAGTCTGAGACGTGGTGTTGACTTGCCTTCTCTGTGCCTCTGCCCTGCGGGTTGTATGAGTGGAGAAACATCTGTCTGTGGGAGAGAGGGGAATGAGAGGCTGACCCAGCCTTGCATGTGGACTGGCTCACACCCGAGTTCAAGACCCTGTTCCACTCCACCAGGCCCCCCACTCCTGAAACATCCCCGGCTCCCATTATTCTGTTTTCTGGAGCACCTCTGCCCCGGGTGCGCAGGCCTGCCCACCTTCGTATAGGCCTCCCTTGTTGGTATTCCCAGTGTGGGAGTGGGGAGGGGGCGGCTGCTTTGTTGGAGGCCTGATGAACCTGCTGTCCTTGTCGACTTGTGACTTAAACTTTTACAGGGCGCCTGGGTGGCTCAGTGGGTTAAGCCTCTGCCTCTGGCTCAGGTCGTGATCTCAGGGTCCTGGAATCAAGCCCCACATCAGACTCTCTGCTCAGCGGGGAGCCTGCTTCCCCACCACCACCACCCCCCCGCCTGCCTCTCTGCCTACTTGTGGTCTGTGTCCATCAGATAAATAAATAAAATCTTTTTTTAAAAAAAAGTTAAACTTTGCAAAAGTAGAGACCTTTGCCTTTTGGTGTTTTACCCTATCACTTGGAAATACAGTGAGATGTGGTGTGGGAAGCTGTTGGCTGTGCCCCGAGCCCCAACACTCACCCACAGACGTGCCCTGTTCACACAGGTTCATGATCAAGAGGGCACAAGGGCGAAAACGCTTTGGGATGAAGAATTTTAAGAAAAGATGGTTCCGCCTGACCAACCACGAGTTTACCTACCAGAGAAGCAAAGGTAACGAGAGAAACTGGCTTTTTACTGGATTCCCATAGTTTATTCTGAGGGGCCAGAGCCTGGAATGGGGCCCTGATGGGGTTCCTGCCTGCTTTCCTGGATGAAACGAAGCGCATAGAGTAAGTGTCCCGGGGCGTGAGCAGTTTCTGGTCACAGAGGAGTGCGTGGGAGACGTCCGCCTGCCAGGTGGCCTGGGTGGGGGTGGGGGTGGGGAGCAGGTGGGCCTGTGCCCCTGGGCTCCTGGCATGGGAGTCGGGGTCCTTCATGGGCCGTGTCCTCTGGGTCTGAGGGGGCATAGGTCTCGGCGACATGGCACTGGGAAGTAAAATGTGGGAACAGGGCTCCTCGAGAAGGCACGTGGCTGGAAGGTCAGGGTTCCCGGGAGGCAGCACCAGGTCCTGCTGCATGAGGCCCGCTGTTCTGCGGTGCCCCCTGCGACCCCTTAAGGCAGGGAGCCTCTCACCCACCCTGTCATGAACCCCTTTCTGTGGCAGGAGACCAGCCTCTGTGCAGCATTCCCATCGAGAACATTCTGGCCGTGGAGAGACTGGAGGAGGAGTCCTTCAAGATGAAGAACGTGAGTGAGGCACCGCCGCGGGGCTCTTGGGGGTTTCTCCCTCTGCGCTCGTTGCCCCACCAGCACCCACTGCCGCTGCCCTCCTCCTGCAGCCCCGTCACTGGGGTCCTTGCAAGCTGGCCAGAGGCAAAGCACCTGCTGGAAGTGCTTTCCTGACAGCTCCAGAGGCCGGAGGGCCAGCTCCGGGACCGTTGGGTTTCTTTGAGACAAATTTTGATCTGGTTTTGAACTTACAGGGAAGTGGCGAGAATACAGTAGGACCCCCGTGTCCCCGAACCCATTATTATTATTATTATTTTTAATATTTTATGTATTTATTTATTCGACACAGACATCACAAGTAGGCAGAGAGGCAGGCAGAGAGAGGAAGGGGGAAGCAGGCTCCCCGGCGAGCAGAGAGCCCGATGTGGGGCTCGATCCCAGGACCCTGAGATCATGACCTGAGCCGAAGGCAGAGGCTTAACCCACTGAGCCACCCAGGCACCCCCCGAACCCGTTATTGCATGTGGTTTGTCTTTATCTATTTGCTGAGCATGTACGTCCCACCTCCTCGTCTCTCTCCGTACACACGTGTTTCTCTGAGCCACATAAACACTCAAGTGTGTTCCCTGCAAACAAGGACATTCTGGTGTGGAGGCAGACCCCCAGCTCCAGAGGCAGGACCCCAACACTGGTGCAGCATCGCCTCTGACCACCGCCTGTGTTGGGACTCCGCCACCTGAGCTCCTGGCCGTCTTTATAGCTGCTGTGTGTCGCCAGCCATGCGCCACATGGTGCATTCTCCATCCTTTTCTGGACCTGGAACATTCCTCAGCCTTTCTCGGTGTTCTTAAAGCACAGAGGCCAGGTGTTGTGGGTGTCCCTCAGATTGGGTGGCAGGTTCAGGTGCCCTCTCCTGCCTGGATCCCGTGGAGATGACCACGTCCCCTGGGTGTGTCTTGTTAGGATGGCTCACGGTGACCGTGGGACACACGCTGAGCTGTGTCCACCTCTTGCTCCTGGCCTCCCTTGTCCGTTCAGTACTTCTTGGCTTTCTGCCATGGAGAGCTCCGTCCCACAGAGGTTCCACCCTAGTCTGTCAGGGCCATGTCTTCTTCAGGGCTGGCGTCCCTCACTGCCCAGTGGGTGTGGGACGTGACAGCGTTCTTGCCTGCATCGTCAAAACACCCATCACCAGCACACACGGCCGAGCGCAGGCGGGGTTTCCGAGGGAGCCGCCAGTGACATCACCGGGTCTGATTTGGGGCAAGGCTCGGATGGGGAGACTTGCTGTGTGTCCCCACAGAGGGTCCTGCAGGGGAGCCCACACATCAGGTCTGCTTACTGTTTGATGCTTTTCAAAAAGCACAGACCTCCGGGGACCATCTGTGTGGCACAGGCAAAGGCATGTCCAGGTCTCCTTGTCACCACACACCTTGGAGCTTGGTCGGGGAGGAAGTGCCCCTGCCCACTGCTGTGGCCGCCATGGCTGCCATGGCCTGGGAGGGGGTTACAACTCTGGCCCAGTCTCCGGAGGCACAAATGGGCTCATGGAGGTGGAAGGAGCTCGCGTGTCTCCTGTGGGGCAGGAGCTCAGACCCGCCCTTGCGTCCGAAGGCCTGTGCACATGGTCTGTCTGCTGTGGCCCCAGGCCCAGCCCCCCTTCCCCGTGTCGCTGGTCATTTGCTTCACTGGTTGTGTCTTCCCGAGTGTTGCCAACCGCCCCCAACACCACGGGCTTCAGGGAGCTCAGATGTTGGAGCCCTGCGTTCCCTAAGAACCTTCTTCAGACGCTGGGAACCATCCGCAGTAGCCACCCCTCTAGGAGGATGGTCCTTGCACAGCATCTCACCCCGCGGGCTCTCCTACAGATGCTGGGTGTAGGGTTTAGGGGAAGGTCCCCGAGTTGGGTCTGCCTCCCAGGAGCTGACAAGGGCTCTGTCTTCCACCTCCTGTGTCAGTCTGTCTCGGCACAGCTCAGTTATCTAGTACCCAGTAGGTGCCTCTGCCGCACTGTGTGGTGGGGGGACACAGCGGGTCTGCTTCAGCTATGACGGGGCTGCTTCTGGCCCAGGGTCACTGAGGAGGAAGACCGATGAGCTCACATCTCTGTCTGAGTCAAAGATGGACATCATGGCCCGTGTGGGTGGCCCTGGCTGGATAGATGGGGAAGGCTGCCCCTGGCTGGACGGCCCAGCTCACACACAGCAGTTTCCACTCAGCCTGCGCTGTCCCTTCACCTGGACCACTGGAGGGGGTTTCTGGGGCAGGCAGATGGCCCCATGGCAGACGGTGTTTTCCCTGGGCCTGAGGGATGTTCCCATGTTGTGCCCGCCCCAGGAGGAATGCCATCTCCTGTGTGGAGGCGTGCTGTAGCATGGGGTATCTGTTCCCAGGCCTGGGATTCAGCCCTGTCTAAGATGGGGGCCTGGGGCACCCAGCCCTCCCTGGGCTCAGGGCCTTTGCACCTGCTATGCCCATCCCAGGACCTCCACTGCCCCAGGACCCCCGCACCTCTCATCCCCGCTGCCCCAGGACCTCTGTACCTATTGGTGCTTCTGGCTGGGACTCTCCATCTTCTGCTTTTCCCACTCAGCTTACTGATGCTTTAGTCATCTTTCTGACTTCAGCTGGGTCATTGATTTAAAAGGTTCTTGCCTGACTCTTCCTACAACGTACACAGACCTTACACTTTGTGTTGGTTCTTATCCTTCTTCCTGGCTGGAAGTTCATGGTGAGAGAAACTCTGTTCGGGCCACACTCTGTCCCCAGAACCTAGGGCAGTGCCTGGTATTCATGAATGGTTGTTGAATGAACAACAAGAGAGAGACGGCGGAGGCTCTGAGAAGCCTCAGAGCAAGTCACACTAACCTGGAAGGAGGAGGAAGAGTCTCCTGGTGAGGTGGGGTGGGTGGGGATTTTCTGATGGACACAACAGCACATACAAAGGTCCTGAGGTCAGTGTGGGATGAGGATAGGAACATGGGCACGATAAGCTCTGATGTACCGTGCACAGAAGACCGCCCCAGCTTAAAAAAACCAGGAGACTCAAAGAAACATTTTTGTCCTGACCACAGTGACCACAGCAGGGGGATGAACAATGCTACTCCTTTGCTTTTGGAATGGAGCTCCCTGAGACCCCAGGACACAGAGTGCCTTGGCCAGGCTGACCAGGGGTGACCCAGCTGAGTCGTGTTAGTCCCAAGTCCCCTGGGGGTAGGCTATGGCTCTCTCAGTTTCAGGAACAGCAGAAAGCCCTTTGTGTGCTCCACAGCCCCCAGGCCTGTCCCGTCCCTCACTCTGCTGCCCCTGGGCCTGTCCGGTCCCTCCTGGGCCTGTCCACATCCACACTGAGGACCCTTGTGGCCCAGGCAGGACACCTTGCCTGGCGGCCTTTCTGACCCTGACCGCTGTCTCCCCAGATGTTTCAGGTGATCCAGCCGGAGCGAGCGCTGTATATCCAGGCCAACAACTGTGTGGAGGCCAAAGCCTGGATCGACATCCTCACCAAAGTCAGCCAGAGCAACAAGAAGCGCCTTGCCGTCTACCACCCATCCGCCTACCTCAATGGCCACTGGCTGTGCTGTAGGGCCTCCTCGGACACGGCGCCAGGCTGCTCCCCCTGCACCGGGTAGGTCTGTGCCTCCTCCCTCCCCCAAGGCCCTCCAGCCAATGCAGGCAGAGAGGGGGTCCCACAGGACCAGCCAAGGGGACGGAAATCAGCCCTGAGCTAACAGGAAGGGAGAGCAGAGTGTATTGAATATAGACGGTGGGGTGGGGGGAGACGGGGACAGAGCATCCAAGAAACACAGAAGAGAAAACAGCGGGAGTCTCCTCGTTGCTTGGGGTCTGGGTTTTTCATGGGGATTGTGGTCTGGGGCACGTGTCCCCTTAGGTGTCCAGGAACTGGTCCGCACAAGGACAGGGTCCAGATGTCCTTTGTAAGTTACTCATTCCCTCGAGCTGGGGGTCTTGGCCTTGAGGTGTTTGGAGTGAGGGGTCTTAGCATTTCTGACAACCCTGCTTGCTCACTCCTCTCTTCTGTTGTGCTGGAAGACTCCAAAGATACCCTCGCCCGTTTGTCTGTTACAAGGAGGACGTAGGCCACGTGCATTTCAAGCATGTGTGGAGGGGGGCGTGGGTGCCTAGCAAGAACAGAAGCTGGAAAAGAAGCAAAAAATAAAAAACATTTTTTATTCTTTTTTTTATGGGGTCCCTTCAGTCCTTGTCTCACATCCACCCCGTGTGGCCAAGCACAGTTGTCCGGTTTGTGCACTGTACAGAGAAGTTTCGCCGAGGGGCCGCACTGGGGCTTGGCGAGCTGCACACGCACAGCTGCGTCTCCTAGGTTGTGCTTGCAATTCTTGAGGTGCCTCCATGCCAGAAAGCCCAGGCTCACCCTTGTGAAGGCCATGTAGACTGGCAGGGGCCGTGAGCCGTCATGGGTGCTCTGTCTCCCAGGGGCCCTAGTGGTCCTTTGGGGTGGACGGCAGTGGGGAGGGTGCTCCGTGCTGAGGGAGGTCTCCCAGGGGTGGGGTGCTGTCGTGTTTCTTCCAGAAGAGCCCAGAGGCCTTCCACCATCCTGCTCACACCCCCTTCAGTGTCCGCAGCTGCCATCTGACACCCTCTCCCTTCCCTTCCTGCCCCACTGTGAGCTGGGCCTCCTGGGGTTCATGAGAGGTTCACTCGGCCCCTTCCGGAAGCAGGCCTGGATGCGTTCAGGGTGCCCCTGTGACCTCTGAGGACAGTGACGAATGCCGTCTGGTGCAGGGGTGAGAGATACCCCAAAGCTCACGAGGTGGGAGCAGAGGGTCCGGCTTTGTAGCTGAAAAGGCCAGGACTCGGGCATGTCCCCGCCGGTTCCACCCAGGAGAGGCTGAGTACTGTGTGCGGGGGGCTGGGACCCTGCCACACCCTCGGGCTGGAGCCGGAGGCGCCGCAGGCTGCGGGAAGAGCTGGCACCTGGCCATCCTCACCTGGGGCGGCCCTGCAGGGCCCACCGCCCACGTGCACCAGGAGCAGCTCTTTCTGTTCCAGGTCCTTCCTTGTCACAGCAGAACGAGCGTGGCCTGTCGGCTGCTGTCTCAGCAGGTCCGTAGGCCTCCGGTCCTCCGAGCCTGTGGATGGGCCCCCCTCAGTGCTCGTGAACTGGGCCCGGCCCCGTGGAGGATAAGTTCACTGCGTAAGGTCACTCCGTGATCCAGTGAGCTTTCGGAAAGGCAATGACTGACATCATCGTTCTTTCTGTTGTGTCACGGTGCTTGGGCAGCGGCCTCCCGGCAAACATCCAGCTGGACATCGATGGGGACCGCGAGACAGAGCGCATCTACTCCCTCTTCCACTCGTATATGAGCAAACTAGAGAAGATGCAAGGTAGGCCCGGCAGCCGGCGCGCCGTCTCGGCAGGTGGCAGGTGGCCGGTGGCCGCGGAGACACCTGCCGGGGTCCCGGGGGCACCTGGAGCATCCCGCAGACACCCCCGGCCCTCGGAGCCCCCGTGGTCTGTGTGCGTTCCCACACGTGGGCTGAAGGGGGAGCGCGTCCCGCAGGCCAGCAGATGTGGGGCGTGGACTGTAGGAACAGATTCTCTGCGTAATCTTACGAGGGAATTTAGCCACGACCTCCGAGCCACCAAGTTCTTGAGAAGATGTTGTGATTAACAACCTCCCACAGCCCAGACCGCGGATTCGTTCTGCCTGCCGGGGGGGGGTGGGGCGTGGGTGTGTGGACACGGGTGTGCGCGTGCACGTGGGACCGTGTTCCTGCCCAGACGCGGCCGACATGATGTGTGCCCACGTTGATGATCCTCCTTTGTGTTCTGCGGACGGTAGGTGACGTGGGAGTGATTGGGTTGAGATTCAGGAGAGGCGATAGGGACGCGGAGGAGGGCCCGGAAGCCCCCCTGAATGCAAAAGGAAGCTGAGCGGGCCTGGAAATACACCGTCCTGGTCTTCCTGTTCTGATCTGACCCAGCAGGCTCAGGGGTGGGCCTCAGCCCAGGACGGACTCCAGTCCCGCCCTGCAAGCATTCCGCCGTGAGCTGTCGGGAGCTCGACCGCACCTGCCCTCGGGCCCCTTCCTGCAGCCTTGGGGGCCGCCTCTGGGTGCACGCCCAGGCTGAGGCCCAGGCGCTATCCCACATGGTGCACATGCGTGAGGCTATGCTCCGGTGCAGACCCTCACACAACCGTGCACATGCGCCACCCACCCCCGCCCCACCGGGTCCTCCCCAAGCAAGTGTGCACACCCAGCACTTGGCCCTGAGGTTTCCTCCAGAGGCCGCGCGGGAGTGGTCCTGGGGCTACAGCCGGCCTCAAGGTGGCAGCCCCTCCCCAGCACACTGAGAGGGTGACCAGAACAGAGGATGGTCAGGAGACTTAGGGTGAAGCCACTCTGTGAAGGAGGCTGACTGAGCCTTGCGTGGTCAGCCGCTTTCCAGCGGCCTCTGTCTGCACACCGTCTCCCTCTTGCTTCCAGCCTGGGGCCACCCCGCTGCCACAGGCCCCCATGCCTCTGTCCCTCAGAGCCACACTCTGGCCCCTTCGTCTGGCTGATACCTGTTTGTCTTGTGAGTGTCCTTCTCTGGGGAGCTTTTCCTAACCCTGTGTGTATCTCTGTCATTGCCATGACGACCATCTCTGATCTGTTCACGTTCGGTGGGCTTGACCCTTTGAGATCAGAAGCAGGTCGTTTGCCCCAGTGCCTGACATGAAGGAGGAATGAATACTGTTTTCTGGATGACGGATGGACGGGCAGTGGACGGCAGAGGGGTGGATGATGGGTGATGAGCGGATGATGGATGGAGAGATGGTGGGTGGATGGTGGGTGGATGGTGGGTGGTGGTGATGGGTGTACGGGTGATGGTGGATGGGTGGAGGGTGGGTGGAGGGTGCATGGATGAGCGAGCCTCCCTCCCAGGGTAGGAATCATCTGGGTGAGTGTCCGTACTGTCAGCAGAGCTGGATCTTACAGGGCCCCTCGCTTGGCCACCGCAGCACTGTCTTCCGGCCTCTGCCTGGAGTCTCGGTGCTTCTCTGAGGCCAAGAGCTTGTCCTCGGAGCATCTGGTGGTCTTGAGACACTTCCTTTATACGCCTGCGGCTGTTCTCTTGAGTGCCAGGACCACGGAGTTTGTTTCCCCCTGACATGGTCGGTCCTTTCCTTTTGGCGCTCGGAGGCGGCTGTGCTCGGGCTGTGTGTGCGAGAGGAGAGACTGGGTCCCCTCCACCTCCCGCATGTGGCGTGGACTCGCCTGGCCATTCTCACTTGGGCCCACCCTGGCTCTTCCCCCCCGGCCCCCTGAAGTCTGCTGACAGTGGAACCCGGGACTTGAGGCAGGGAAGGGTTAGCCCAGGGCTTGGCAGGGACGGGGGCCACGGGGCTGAGAGTAACGCAGGGGTGCCTTTCCAGGTGACAGCAGGGTCCCCGCTGTGATGAGCCCCGGGATCGCGACATACTTTCCCCTCTGCAGAACAGGCACGAGTGCCCACTTATCAGGGCACTGGGAAGGTTAGAGAGAGGACTCCCACGGAGCACCGAGCCGTGTCTCCCGCACAACTGTGGACGTACGGTCTGGCCTCGGGCCTCTTCCCTGGCCTGCGCCTCTTGGGTCCCTCCCAGCACTCACCCGCTCTGGCCGTGCCCCTCAGCACCCCACGTGGGATGAGTCCGCAAGTCCCAGGCCTCAATCCAGAGACCGCTTTGGCCTCTGCCGTGAGACCACTGGGTAGCCCATCATGTCCTCTTCCGTGACACGGGCTAACCGCCTGGGTTGGCTCAGGATGCAGCCACACAGCCCCCGTAAGGCAGGCTGCCCGGCTGCGTATCCGAGCCACCTCCCCGCACCTCCCCCTCCCCTGCTCGGGGTCCGCAGGCCTCCACAGGCCTCTGCATCTGTCCCTTCTCCGCCAGCGCCGTGCTCCGCCAGCACCGTGAGTCTTCGTGTCTGGTGGCTGTTAGCGAGGGTCGCAGACGTGTGCTTATTCCGGGGTAATGCCTCTTGACCTGTCCGCACTGGCTGTGACAGCACAGCTCACAGGTCCTGCCAGGCCCCGGGCAGGAGTCTCTCGGGGAGACCGGTGCCCCCGCTTCCCATAAGGGTTTGTCGAGGCTCAGACGCAAGTAACCTGCTCCAGGCCCAGTAGCTCCCATAAGTGGGGACTTTGGGGAGGGGTCCAGGCAGTCTGGCTCCCGAGACCCTGACCCTGCGTGTGACGTGGAGAGGGGAAGGCTGAACTCAGACCGGCTGCGCACTGGGCTCCTCCCTCCTTCTCCTCTGTTCATCCCTCACCTTCATGTTGCTTGTCTTTCTCGCGTCAGATTCTCTGTTTTTGAATCTTTAACTGAATCTTCTTAGTCTTCCTTTGTGCAGACTCGTGATTTTTCAGTAAGAATTCGAGTTCTTCCGGGTTGGAGATAAAGACAGGGGATGGACACTAGAACTTCTGTGATAATGAAACAGCAGGGCAGGTGGGGTGAGGAGCTCCCTAGGTTGGGCTCACCTCAGCCCAGTGCTGTCCAAATGGCATGTCTTCCCACACAGACCCTCCGCGGCCCTGGAGCGGAGGGTCCAGCTCAGGTGTTTGAGGACAGGTCAGGGGGAGGGCTAGCTCAGGTGTTTGGGGACTAGTGGGTAGACCTGGTCCCAGCCTAGGTGTTTGGGGAACAGGTTGGGAGGCCCAGGCCCAGCTGCGGTGCCTGGGTGCTTCTCGTGGGTGCCTGGAGGAGACGGCGTGGTCTTCAGCGGGAGTGAGGTGGTCCAATGAGAAAGTCACGTGTCCAGCAGGTGGGGGTCACAGAGGTCCTAGGAAGCTGCTCGTGCAGCCCAGCCAAGAGGTGACACCCTTGAGGACAGTGTCCTCGCGTCCCTGCCACAGGGTGTGCATGTAAACGCCAGGTCAGTGACGCCCTGGCCCCTCTTTCTAAGATGGGGCTTTCCTTGAGGTCATCTCCCCAGACTGACCCTGGGTGACCCCGCAGGCCCTTGAGCCCCCTGGCCCTATGTCCAGGAAGCGACATCTGCCAGCGCTGGTCTGGTGAGCAGTGGGGTGTGGACAGACGTGGGTGCACAGGAGACAAGCTGGTCAGACGGGGCGTCAGACCCTGGCTTCTCCGGGGCTCGGCTCCGGCCTGGCTCTTGGGAATGGCTTCTGCTTCTTTGTGCATTTGCGTGGGAGCAGTCAGCCCTTCCCCGAGGAGGCTGGCCATGCACGCTGCCCTGACCTCCGGCCCCTCTCAACGCCGCAGAGGCCTGTGGCAGCAGATCTGTGTACGACGGGCCTGAGCAGGAGGAGTACTCGACGTTCATCATCGACGACCCCCAGGAGACCTACAAGACACTGAAGCAGGTCATCGCCGGGGTCGGGGCCCTGGAGCAGGAGCACGCCCAGTACAAGAGGGACAAGTTCAAGAAGACCAAGTACGGGAGCCAGTGAGTACGGCGTCTGGGTTGTAAGGGAGCCCTTGGCAAAGGTGACGGGGAAGCAGAGCCCGACCCTAAAGCCACCTGCACGCACCCGTGAGGCTTGGGCAGCTGCCCCATCTCCTCAGAGCAGCCTTCCTGTACTCTCCAGCTGTCGGGCAGTGCCCCGTGGACGGCACCTCCCCAACTTCCCGCCTCCCGGTCCCTCCTTCCTCCAGAACCTTCCACCTCCTGACCCATTGCTTCCAAAATTAGGCTTCAATCGGCCAGAAGTCCCACACCCTTTGCCCCTCTCTAGGCCACAAGTACGCTTCTATAGGTGACTTCTGCCTAAGTCTTTTTCCTTTGTTTGTATTTTTCACATTTATTCCGATGAACATGTATCACGTTTAAAGACAGACAAAAAGATAAGAAAACATGCAGATGGGCACTGGCGGTTGGGAACTCGGCCTCACTTTCTCTGCTCCCCCGTTTCCCCTTTGCAGGGAGCACCCCATCGGAGACAAGAGCTTCCAGAGCTATATCAGGCAGCAGTCGGAGACCTCCACCCATTCCATTTGAAGCAGGATGTCCTGTCCCAGGACGGTGCCCAGGGCTGCGGCAGGGAAGCCACAGTCTTCGGGCTTGAGGGAACAGAGAAAGGACAATAGGGCACGGGGCCTTCACTTCGCAGCTCACCTGTGACCCACGCCAGGCCTGCTGGGCAGCTGAGACCCTCCCGGAGCTCGTCTGTGGTTGCTGGGGCCCCGTCGTCACACTGGTGGCAGGAGACCTGGGCTGGCCCTTCTGGGAGGAGGGGCCGGGACCGCCGTACCCGCTGCAGAACTCGTGCTTCCTGTCCTGGACCCTTGGGCCTCTGCTGGGCTCTGTGCGGCCTGTGCGGTGGAGCCCCCAGCTCTCTCCCCGCACATGCCCTGCGGGACCAGCATGCTGAGCGCTCCGTGTACTGTCGCCTGCCGGCGGCCACGGCCCCGGCCCTCTGCCTCCAGCCCTGCCATTATTCCTGCGGAAGGTCAGTTTCGCTTCCTCGAGCGTCACCGCACGAAGGCCCCCCACGTGCGAATGCCTTGACGACTTGGAGGTACAGGGCCCTTCTGCCGAGAGTGCCGGGGCTTCCCGTCCGCTCCTGCAGACGCTGGCGTCCCGCCACTGCCAACACTGCCAGAGCGGGCAACGCGCCATGCAGAGTCCAGCCGCCCCCCTTCAAGCAGAATTGTCGTTTGCTGTTGGTGGGACTGAGAGCAGGGTCCACCTCAGCTGCCCTTCTGGGAGTTTGGGGAAGGTTTTTAAAATAGAAATGTGCATTATTTTCAAGCTGTTTTTCTTAATGTTTTTAGAGGACCGTTTCTAACGAGCTGTTTGATGAAGTACCTCAGAGTATCTAGGCCTGTCGCAAAGGGCAGGGTGCACGGCAGGCACACGGGCACGAGCCGCTTCTCTGGGAAGCCGGTGGATGGCCCTCCAGAGCGCCCCAGGGGACGAGCGTCCTGAGCTGTGCAGATCCCCAGCCCCCGGGAGCAGGGCTTTGCTGTGTCTCTGTGAGGCCTCTAGAAGCTGCCAGGCAGCGGGGGTGCTTTTCTGTGGGGGTGGGGGTTCCCGACGTGGGGCAGCCGGCCTTCGAGCTTTGGAGAACACTGTTCAGATGCTCAGACCTTGTGCCTGTCTCTGCTTTTATTTGCAAATACTGTCCAGACTCTGAACCATGACGGATAGGACTTGTCACAAAAATGGTGGAGGAGGATGTTGCAGAAAATACGCTTAGGGACACACAGCTAGCAGGCCACACCGGACTACCGTTTTTAACTTGGATTTGTAACTTGATGTCTCTGTTTATAAGATACTAATGATCTGCAATGTATTTTACTGGCCGATTAAAACAGACGTTTTATTCTTTCTGAGGACGGTTTGATTAACGGCACACGTGGGCGATGGGGTGCGTGGCGGAGCGGGGCCTGTGGGAGGCTGGGTGGCAGGCCACGTGGCAGGGAGGCTCGGCTGCAAGCCTTTGGATCAAGCGGAAACCACAGTGCTCTGTGGGATGGGAAGTGTGGGGTCAGGCCCTCTGAGCGCGTCCAAGCACGTCTGCTGGAAGCTCTGGTGGGGGTAGAGACGGGCGTCAGCCTAGGAAGGGCAGGATGGGCTCCCGCACGTGCTGCTGTCTCCGAGAGGCCGTGGGGAGGCCAGAGGTGCTGAGGGCCCTGTCCCACCTGGACGGGCAGAGGGAGGGGCCGCATGCACCGAGGGGGGCCTGGAGGAGACCTGACTCCAGAGCAGGGGCGCATCGTCTCCCTCTTCTTCCTTCCATGTGGTTTTCACTCCGTTGCTGTTTTAATTCCAGCCCGAGTCACCTGTTAGGAAACAATCAGGTGAGCTGACTCTGGGACATCAGGCTGGACTTGGGGGAGGTGGGGGAACAGGGGGCGGTCAGCCCCTCTCTGGGACATGGACTTGGGGAGGGAAGCACCATCGCTGCTTTCCTCTGGCCCCTCCCAGCAGCGGATGGCCCCAGGGCTAGGTGGGGGGCTGATGGGTACAGAGGGGGCACACCTGCCCACGAGGCCTCCAGGTCAGAGGCCACCAGCATCCGTCAGCCAGGACAGGAGCGTCCACAGCAGGGCCCTGGGTGCTGGCCAACTCAGACACATGCGGGACGCAGGGAGGTTCTGCGCCCGTGGGAGGACAGAAGGGAGAAAGCCTCAGGGAACGTGGGACCCAGAAGCCCCTCTCCCGGGACTCCTGATAGGTCACAGTGTCTCTCGGGCCTCTGTGTGTCCATTTGCTCTTCCTCCAGACAGCCCAAGCATCCCCCTGCCCTGGCCATAGCCCCTCGGCCTCTCCCTGACCAGCAGCTCGGCACGCGGGTACCTGCACGCCAGCAGCAGTGCCAGTCCCCGGCTGGGTGCAGAGCCCGCCCGTGGATGTGCTGTGAGGCGTGTCGGAGGGAGGGATGTGCCTGTGGAATCGTGTCCCTTTTGTTTTGTTCTGAATACGTACGATTGGCTGGCTGCTCCGGGAGGGCCCTGAGTGTCATGTCCTGCGGTCTTGGGTGCTTGGAGATTAAAGAAAGAGTCTGCTGGGATGAAGTCAGACAATTTCTGTTAAGTTGTATTATGTGTCCCCCAAAACCTCATGGCAAAGTCCTGAGCCCAGCACCTCAGACTGTGACAGTATTTGGAGAGAGGATCTTTAAAGAGGTAATTAAGGTCACCCGAAGTCATTAGGGCGTGCCCTAATCCCGTACGACCGGAGTCGTCCTCCGATTGGAGCGCAGCGGTGGACACGGGAGAGGATGCTCAGCGTCACTCATTGTCAGAAAAGGACGAGTCAAACCACAGGGGGTGTCACTTCCCACCGGCCAGACGGCAGAACGGCTAAAACCAACAACACGGGAACCACGGGTGTCGGCGAGGACGCGGAGAAGGGGGAGCCCCGTGCGTTGGTGGGGACGCAGGCTGGCGTAGCCGCTCTGGACAACAGCATGGAGGCTCCCCAAACAGTCAAAACCAGAGCTTCCCTACGACCCGGCAACCGCACTACTGGGAATGAACTCAGAGGACACAAAACACGGGTGCAAGGGCCCCAGGCCCCTGCGCTGCCAGCGGCCTCCTCTACAGTAGCCGCGATGCGGAAGCAGCCGAGTGTCGGCGGAGACGGACGGAGAAAGAGGATGCGGGCTGTGGGGTGCACACGCAACAGACCACGACTCGGCCATCAGAAAGAGGAGATCGTGCCACTTGTGACGTGATTGGACCCAGGGGCCCTGCTGCTAAGTGAGCGAAATCAGACGAGTAAAGACGGACGGACGACCGCGTGAGTCCACGGAGAAGTGGGCACGAAACGACGACGACAAGCCCAATGAGTAAACAAGAACCAGAGCCAGAGCCACAGATACAGAGACTCAGCGGGGCGGGGTGGGGGCCTCTGGGAGGGGGTCTCGGTCACAGGGCGACCCGGGGCTGAGCGGTCGGGGAGCGTGTGGCCTGAGAGCAGAGGGCGGCTCTGCACTTGCCCGGGAGAGGAGTGCAGGCGCTGCCATGTCCTCCTGAAGCTTCTGCACTGTTGTGTGTCGCGAGACTCGGAGGAAAGAGCAGATTCGGGCAGGGCTGTGTGGAGAGACGACGTGGGACACGGGGTCAAGGCTCACGCTGGCTGAGCGGCTGCAGAGACCCCAGCCCTGGTGGCACCCACACTGGGCCTTTCCACCTTCCGACTGTGGGAGCCCCTGTTAGGGTCCGTAATCAAAGGAGCGAGACTAATGCAAAGCGAAGGTCAAGCAAAGCTTTATTTCGCGCCAAGCATCAGAATCAAACTGACGGGCCAGGGTGTCTCTTGCAGAGACGCGACCCCTCCCAGCCTCACAGACGCACTTCTGTGGAGGTGGTTTAGCCGGGCTATGCACGGGTGGCCAGAGAACACTGCACAGTCGTGCTGGGTCTGCCACAACAGAAAAACTGCTAGGTAACACACGGGCGGCCAGTCGAATTTCAATTTACCCTCGAAGATATATGCGCGTCCCACTGGTTGGACGTCTTCACCCGCCCGACCCGCTGGGATCTAGGCTTCGCAGGTTCCTCTGGGAGGGGCGGGGTCAATCATCTACGTTTACTCCAACAAAATGGCTCCCTCCGATTAGGCAGGCCCCTGCCCCACGCGGGAGCCCACTGGGAGCCGCGTCCCAGTCGCGCCGGCGAACCCGCGCCTGGTGCCACCAGTGTGGCTCCTGCCCACACGGCCACACCTGACGCCACCGGAGCCGCCTCCGCTCGGGCCTCCCGGCCACGGATGAAGGCCCGGGGTGCCCCCACGGCCGCGTCCGACCCTGGGTCCCTTGCCTGAGTTTGGTGCATGGGGACGTTGTCCTAAGCAGAAGAGACGGAATCCAGCCCTGAGGAGCTCATCCGCAGGCCTGAGGCAGAGCCCACCGCAGCCGTGCGGCGCGTCCACGTTGGGGAGGGCTTCTGCAGGCCTCGGAAGAAGGGCACCCGCGGGAAGGGCTGCGCTGGGCTGACTTCTGACCTCTGACAGTGCGGTGATGTCACAGGGGCCACTTGGCAACGGGGGCCCCCTGGCCACACCGGGCAGCTCATCCGACGGAGGCCGGAAGCCATGCTCTCCATCTGACGGTGCGCTGGGGAGCCCGCGTCCCTCTTCTTTCCAAAAACCTAACAGAGGGGAGAAGGATGGAGAAGGACGCGGCCACACACAGGAGGCACCGGCCAGGCCCCGGGGTCCCTGCTTCAGGGGTGGCCCCTGGACACCTCAAGGCAGCCAGCGAGATGGCCGAGCTCCAGAGGAGCAGGAGCATGGGCGGCCTGCACCAAAAGGGGGACCCTCCGAGCTGCATCAAGAAGTTGTCCAAGGAACCGGGTAGGTCCCCAGCAGCATCCCTCCCTCCTGCCCGGCCCCACGGCCCCCGCCGAGAATCTGAAAGGCCTGGCAGAGTGTGCTTGACCCAGGGTCTGCCGATGGCCAGACTGGGGGCCCCTCGGAGCGGGCCACGGGAAGCAGGGCTGCGGCCGGGAGTGGGGCCAGGCCAGCTGTGCCTACCAAGGGCCGTGGCCACGTAGAACGTCTCCAGGCGGTCTGCTCAGGAGACATGAGGGGAGGGCCACCCATGAGCCCCTGTGGGGCGTGGACGTGGGGTACACGGCAACGAACTTACACGGGGCTGGGCTGCACCCCAGGCTCTTCCTAAATGCGCTGCCCGAGGGGCAGAGGTGGGACACTCCATCCTTGTGTGAACCTTGAGTTTCGCCCCCCCCCCCAGGCTCCCCAACAGCAGACCTCTCAGGGTCCTCTCCCTGGAGGGGCTGGACCCCGAGGTGACTGAGGGTTGCTGGTGACTGGTTTGGTCATTTGCCAGGCCCTCCACGGTCCTGGTTCTCCCAGGAAGGTCACCCAGCAAGGGGCCCTTTACGAGGGTGTCGGGATGCCGTGGAAATGAGACGCGGTCAGCGGGAAATATGGTTTGTTGTTCAGGCCCGAGGGACGAAGACTTGCTCTCTCAGGGTAAACATCTCTTGGGAGAAGAGGAGGTGCTGGCCGGCTGGGTACAGGGCCATCTCCGTCCTCTGAAGCCTCGGAGCAGGGGGCGCCTTCCACAGGCTCACGAAAGAGGAGCAACTTTTCCCGAAGAAGAACCCACCTAAGTCCACGCAGGCAATATCGCACAGTGAGGTGGGAGGGGGTCTGGGAATGCCGCCACGAGGCCGGCCATGAAGGAGGACAGTGCCGGTCCCACTGCCGGATACTCCCAGCAGCACCGCGGAATCTCCCCAAACCGGGTGAGCGGCAGACACATCCCCGTGGTGCCCCGCCTGCCGCACTGGCCCTGGCAGCCCGCACAGGACGCAGCAGAGTGTTGCTGCCTCCCCAGAGCCCGCCGGCGGGAGCAGCAGGCTCACTGGCCAGCCCCACTGTCCACGTGGTGAAGTAGGTCCAGAAGAGGGGGGCCCTGCCGGTGCACACCTGCTAGGAACAGGCAGTGAGGACACAGGAGCTGGGCTGCTGAACCCGATGGGCGGGACAAGGGGCGGCCGGAGCACATCTGCAGCCGGCGGTCCCAGTGGACCTCAGGGTGAGCGCAGTGTCAGAGGGAACAGCGGGAACCCGGGGTCTGTGTGCCGGAACTGTGGGTGGCCACACACTGAGCTCAGCTCCCCTCCCTGGCCTGCACAGGCTCACACAGCTGTGTCCACAACCCCCCGCCCTGGACCCCGGAACACAGGCCTGCCATGCCACCCGTCCCGCACCAGGCCACCCTCCAGCGGCACCCGGCGCTCCACCCGACACCTGCACACGCTGGGTGGGGGAGTCCAGAGAGGAGGAGGGGCCTTCCTCTGAGGTGTGTGGGGACTGCTGAGGTCTTCAACCGTGTTGCCAAGGGGCAAGGAGCACCGCCATCACAGAATCAAGGCCAGTTACAAAGCAGGTCTTGATGACTGTCACTCCCCACCCCCAGCCAGCTCCGCACCGCCGTTTCCGTGATTTTTGATGCTGGACTAACCGTCCAGAGGATGCGGCCACGGCCTGACCCCCAGCCTCCGCCTACAGACCCACTGCCCCCGTTGGGCCCAGGGCTGTCTCACAGCCAAGAAGTAATCTGTAAGCAGTTTGGAGAGACCCATGTGTCGGCTGAGGAAGAGGAGGCAACAGAGGGAGCCCTCCAGAGACCCCGCCACATTGTCCTCAGACCTCTCAGCCCTCCCCCCGCCGCTTGCTGGCTGGCCGAGCCCTCCACACTAAGGGGCCCCTCGCTGCCTCCATGCGCTGAGTCCTGATACACACAGACACCTTCTTGGAGAAAGGAAAGGGGCGAGACCTGCAGACGCTTAGTATTACTGTCCTGCCTTTATGTCAGAGGATGCACGGGGCGTCTCCTTTGGAGAAAAGAAATCATGTCTCTTTTTACGGATTCTTCCTTCTTGCCAGACACATATCACAGAAAGAAGCAGGTTTAGAGATCAGCCCCGGGTCTTCAAAACACGCACGTGCACACACACACGCACGCACACACGCATGCCCACAGGTAGGGGCCTGCTGAAGATTTTCCAAAGAAATCAATTTTAAAATTCCTGCTAGAAAACTGCTTCTCAGCCACTCAGGTCCTGTTCTCTGAGCTGGAGACGGGGTGTTGCCTTTTCTCCCTGGGATGTCTCCAGAGCCACCAAGTTCCGGAATACCATCTGAAGGCCCGAGGGCCGCCCCCACCCCCTACGCTGCATGCTGCTCCCTCAGACCCCTGCCCATGGCCTTTAGAGCTTTGTCTCTGGGGTGGCCAGCCTCTGCCTCAGCATCCCTGAGCCTGTGTGGGTGTGGCCGACAAGAGCAGGATGGAGGACCCCTTGTTCTCACCCACAGGGGACTCAGATGAGTCAGAGAGGGGGTCCGCACGACACGGCCGAGGCCACGCGCCCTGAGCACCCGGGAGGCCTGGCTGGGATGCGTCTCCCACCAAGGCCGACTGCCTGACATGGGGCAGGGCCTCCAGCGAGAGCAGGCCCAGGGCAGGGATGGCGTGGGAAGCTCAAGGGCCACCCAGGCCACTTGACTTGCAGAGAAGCAGGACTGGTGTGCAGGCCGCCCCCTGGAGCCCAGCTTCCCCCTCCCGGGCCTTCAGGTGCCCCCAGCCTGACAGGGGAGCGCCGGTCTGTGAGGAGAGCCTTTCCCTAGAATCGGGGTGCTCAGGGGCACCTCCCCAGTCCTCCTGTCAGGAGCAGGATTGAAGGTTTTGTCACTTCTCCCCAGGCTGCACTGCGTTTGCATCTTGGGCCCCAAGGGTGCTGGGGTGGGGGACGGGGACAAGCTGGCGGCAGGGAGGAGAGCAGCTATGGCAAACCAGCCACCTCTGCCATCCTGGGCCCAAATGTGGCCACACAGAAATGGAACCTGGACCGTCACCTGTGGGAGGCCTGCCCGTCCTCGTAGCGCCAGGCCGTGGGCCCATCACTCCCTGAGGGGCTGGGCTGTGCTCCTCTCTGCCTTGCAGGGCCAGGCCGCGGGCCCAGGGAGTGCTGATGACAAATGCTTCTCCTTTCTCCCCAGAGTCCGAAGACCAGGGAAAGGACCCGCGGAGTGACACTGAAGATGCCGGCTGGTAAGACGTCTTTGTCCAGCAGAGACAGGAGGGTGACACAGGAGACAATGGGGTGGGGAGCACGGCCAGCCCCGAGGTCGACACCCAGGATCCCGAAGGAACCCTGGGAGGAAGGGGTGCCCTGAGACGACCCCGAGGGCTCAGATGGGAGGGTTTCTCAGGGATGCGAGCCACCCCCTGCCCTGCCCCCTGCTCCTGCTTCCCCGGGCAGTCCCTGGAGCCAGCCATGGCCCCGAGTCCCAGGGCGGCTCCTGTTGCGGCAAACGTTTGCACTCAACTCTCCAGGCTGCTTGGCCAGACGTCTCGTCTTGTCTGGGAAGGTCTGGGTGTGCAGCTCGGTAGGCCAACAGGCTCCCTGCATCCCCGTCACTGCCACAGAACCATCCTCGAGCAGCACTACCCAATCCTCGATGCCTGGGGCTCATCCTCCAGCCCCCCACCCTCCCACCGCCAGGCAGGAGGAAGGGCCTCTACACCCTGTCCCACCCTGCTCTGCTGGGGACACATCCCAGAACTTTCCCAACGCCCAAGGGGAGAAAGGGCCGCCCCGAAGCCACATCCATTGCCCCGCTCCCCCCACAGTCAGGCAGACCCAGAGGAAGACACGCAGGAAAAGCACCAGGACGCCCGGGGAAAGTTGGACCCAGACGGTGGAAGGACAGAGCCAGAGGTGAAGAGGAGCTGCCTGGAGGCGAGGGGCAAGGGCAGGAGGGCTGGCCAGGCACACGCGCCCGCCACCCTTGTGTCCTGCTGGTGCTCACCTGCCGGTGTCTCCCCAGGAACAGGAACCAGAGTCTGTCAAGGTGGACGACCGTCCCGGAAAAGAGGCAAGAGCCTTGACTTTCGTAATAGGGCAGCCCAGCAGGCACAGTCCTGCAGGACCACAAGCAGGCTGTGGACACACGGTCCCAGAGTCCTCCTGGCAGGGCCATGCCGCAGGCTGGAGCCAGTGCTGCCTCAACCCAAGATCCTTTCGGTCAAGCCCTGGGGTCCCGGCTGATACTGGGCAACCTCGCCCCGGCTTCCCAAACAGTGCCGTTGCCAAAGGCACATGGAACCTGACAGGAGGTGGCCCAGAGGAGTGCCGCTGGCCCGTGCCCTGGAGCACTGGCCAGAGACCCATCAGAGGTGTGGTAGGACTTCCCACTGGGCACTTTCTGAGGGAAGGAGGCTCTCATTTTCTTCCTGATCATGGGAGGAAACGGAGAAGGAGCTGGACCCATTTTAGCAGGACCTACAACAGATAGTCCCTGCTGGGGGTCCAGGGGTTCACCCCAGGTAGGTGTTCTAGCCAGCCCTGGTGGGCAGCAGCCCCTGGAACTGCTTGAGCCGCTCATGCCTCAGTGTGAGTCCGCACCAGTGCGGGGGCAGAGTGGGTCCCAGGAGGCTGGTGGGCAACGTGCTGCTGTGGGCCAGCTCTGGGCATCTGCTTGTGACCCACAGCCCCGGTTCTCAGAGGGTGAAGCCCGGGGAGACCCTGGGGTCTCAGGGACCTATCAGGGTGAGTAGGGAGAAGAGGAAGGACTCTCCTTCTCTCTGCCAGAGCTGGCCAGGAGCTCCTTGCCATCCACACTGCCAGCAGCTCTCTACCCAGCTCCTCAGGAGCCCCCTCTGAGCACAGCCACTGTCTAGTGGTCCCAGTGGTGGTGCAGACCCGGCTGCCCCAGGGCTGGGAGCCCCTCCCAGGAAGCCGCCTCTCCTCTCCAGCTCACCCCATCCACACCTCTTTGGTTTCCATTCACAGAAACCATCTGTGTTTGTGGAGATTGATCTGGGAGACCATGCCGAGGAGGTAAAAGCCCTCAGACCACGGAGCCAGACCACCTGCCGGGAATGCTGGTGCTCAGGCCCACATGGCCTGTCCAGGGAGCCTGTCCCACAAGAATGTACTGCAGGCTGAGGCAGAGGCGGGCCAGAGTGCCAGGACTCTGGATGCTGGGAATCTGAAATCCACCCTTGGCTCCTTCTTATCCTCCACCCTGCATGCATTCTGGCTTCGACTGAGACTCTCAGGCCAGGGTCAACCCTTCTGGGAGCCTACTGGGGTGGTACAAAGGGCATAGGCTTGGGAGTTGGAGACCAGGTCTCCACATCTGGCTCTGCCAAGAGATACACAAGTCACCATGTCTCTCAGTGCCTCTGTTATTTCATCCATACAATGGGGATCTTAGTAGTACCTACATTCCAGGTTGTTCTGTAAAGCACTCAGAATGGTGCCTGTACCCAGAAAGCCTCAGTACTGGGTATGATCACCACCATCACCACCAACACCAACACCACCACCATCCATCAACACCACCATCACCATAACCACAATCACCACCGCATTACCATCATCACCATCATCTCATTACCACCATCACCATCACCACGATCACCACCTTCATTACCATCATCACCATCATCATTATCACCATCACCATCATCATCACCATCACCATCACCATCACCATCACCACCATCACCATCACCACGATCACCACGATCACCACCTTCACGACCATCATCACCATCATCATCACCACCATTACCATCACCATCACCACCATCACCAGCACCTTGACCACCACCATCACCATCAACACCACCATCACCACAAACATCACCACCAAGACCCCACCATCACCGTGATCACCACTATCACCACCAACACCATCACCACTATCACCATCAATACCACCATCACCACCACCACCATCACCACTGTCACCATCACAACTATCACCATCAACACCACTGTCACCACCATCACCATCACTATCACCATCACCACCATTGCTATCACCAACACCACCACCATCACCATCATCACATCACCACCTCACCACCATCACCACCATTATCATCACATCACCACCATCACCATAACTACCACCATTCCAGTCACCATCACCACCACCACCATCACCATCATATCACCATCATCATTGCCATCAGTATCACCATTAGCCATCACCATCACCTCAATACCATTGTCATCATTATTATCACCATCACCACCACCACCACCACCACCAACATCATCATCATCACCATCACCATCATCATACAGCATCTTCATTTTCTGTAAAAGGAAGGTGTTGACCAATGGTCGGTCTGGACCATCCAGCACAAATGTCCTAGGGTGTCCTCCATTTCTCAGCTGTAGTGGGCAGCCATCTCTGAAAGTGTTTTAAATTTAAGCTCCTTCCTGGGGATTGTCCTTTTCCAGATTGCACCTCCTATCTCTTCGCCCTCAGAACATGTGGTACAGTGAAGAGTGCTGGCTATTACCCCTCACAAGGCTGTCTCATGGGCAACATAGGTTTTAAGGACTCAAGGAGGGTCATCCAGGGGCAGAGTTGGGATTACATTCCAGAGGTCACGGTGGCCCACTTCAAGGGCAGCGTTCCTTGGTCAGGGTCCCCTAATTGGAAGTTTCCTCCCCCACTTCCTTCCCTTCCCTTCTTTCTTTTAGAGAGGGACACATGGAATGAGAGAGAGTGTGGGGCAGGGAGAGAATCGTAAGCAGGCTCTGCTCTCAGCACGTGAGTGCAACACAAGGCTGAAATCAGGAGTCAGACACTTGACTGAGAGAGCCACCCAGGTGCCCCCCCCTTTTTGGAAATCTTCACTTGACACTGTCCCAACTCATGGGAAGGGGCTCAGTGCCAGCACAGTCTCTATGGCCCCATCTGGCCCTTGGGCCGGTATAGCAGATCTGGCCTTGGTGGCTGTGGTTGATGGGCTGATTCTCTCTACTTGTTCCCTAAACTGCTCCTGTCACTTCCCACAGGTGGTCACAGGTGCCATGAGAGAAGAGAAGCGGTCCCAGATGGACATGGGGGATTTGTCAGAAGATGAGTGAGTCATGCCTGTGGCGTTATCCACAGAGACTGGGGGTTCTCCTCTACCACGGCGTCTGGTGGGCCCACTGTGCCTCATGTGGAATGGGCAGGACCCCACTGCTTGCCTTCCTTCCTCTTCTGGGTCCGCAGAGACCCAAGCTCTGATGAGCCTGGAGGGGCTGAGAGGCGAGCCGTGGGACTCAGGGACAACCCTTAGCTTGGGTCCCCTTCACCCAACAGCCAGACCCTTTCTCCCCATCCCATCAGCCAATGCATTGGCCAGACTATGAGGTGGGAGAGTTGGCAGGAAGCAGAGAAGGTGAGAGGGACGTGTGTCTGTGGGGACGATTCTAGCTTCTTGGTTTGGGGTTTCGCCGGGAGGGAGGACCCATCACCGGTCAAGACTCTGCGAAGTGGGTCAGGCCCCTGCACGGGGGTGGGAGGCATGTTTGTTCTGGCCACCCACACCCTCCCAGGGTGGGCACTGGCTAGGGCCAGCCAAGTCCCACGAAGTCCTGAGGCCGTAAAGGGCACTGGAAGCAGGCCGCTGTGTCACCCAAGGGCCGCGGATCTGTTTTTCTCTCAAGCATAGCGAAGCGCTGGGAAGAAAGTAGCGGTTCATCCAGCCCCAGGATGAGCACTGCCTTAGCGCAGCGGCTTATCTGCTGCAACACTTCGTAAAAGAAAAATAGCTCTAATAGAGATATTTAGATACAAAGCAAATTCCTTTGTAAAACCGACACATGGTCCTTTTAAATAAGGAAACAAAAAACGTCTAAGTCACCCAGGCCCCTCCTGGCAACAGCGAGGATGGCACTGGCTTGTGGGCGCCAATGGACACAGCTTGGCGGCTTTGTGTTTTGCCCCAAGGGCCAGCCCCATGACTCTGCTGCCCCCAGCAAACCAGCCAGCCGGGGCCAGCACACAGATCCAAGCCCAGGCTGCTGGAAGCCGCTCGGCCAGTGGGAAGGGGGACTCTGGAGGGCAGGCCCGGCCCTCACACCTGCTGGGCAGTTTCGGGGTCACCCGTCTGTCCCACGGCCCTGCTCCCCTGCCGTCTCCGTTTTCCTCTGAGCTGAGGCTTCTCCATGCGGGCTCTTCCCTGGGCCCATTCAGAGGGTGGGCTTGGGCACCCATGGGCTAGCTGCTGCTTGTGTCCAGTGGGTGCTTTGACATTGAGCTGTGGGGCCCCTGCAGAGGGAAGGGGTACAGATGACTTGTCCCAGAGGCCGCTTTGGTAGGAAGTGGAGACCCCAGAGACCACCCACCAGGGCCCAGCACAGGCCGCGTGTTCAGGAAATGGGCAGGGCTGGGAGGGGGGCCGGCTGGAGCGGGCTTGGCTTTGGGGCCAAGAGGAGCAGTTTGTCCAGCTAGCCTGGGTCAACAGCCCCTTCTGGTTCGGCCTCTCAGCGCAGAGGACAGCAGCACGGGGTGGGCGGGACAAAGCTCGGGCTGTGGGGAGGGCAAGCCCAGCTCTGCACCGGAGTCCGGTCATGCGTGCAGGGCCCTGACACCCTCTGACTGGCAAGCCCTGGGGCCCCGGGCTTGACGAGGGGGCAGGCTGCTGGGGTAAAGGGGTGCTGCTTGCGGCCCTGGGCCCTGGGCCCTGAGCTCAGGTGGGTGTGCCTGTCTCTCCTGGTTGTAGGACCAGGACCAGCTGGGTGTGCTGCATCCCCTACTCCACCAGAAGGAAGGCGAAGGAGAGCGTGTAGCCGCCGTGGACAAGGTAGTTGGCATAGGGACGGGGCTGGAGGCCAAGGGGGCATCTGGAGGGGAAGGAAAGCTGTTCTCCTGACCTGCCGGCCTCCTCAGTCCTGCAGTGACCTGGCAGGGAGGGACTGGGGCTGCAGACAAGCAGCCCTGAGAAATGACACTGACGCCATTTCAGGGCACCGCGAACCACCCAGGTGTGACCCACTGGTCTGCCGGCTAAGCGACGAGGCCATCTTACACAATAAAGTGTGAACAGAAGTTGTTCTCCCTCTCTGGTTCCCCCTGAGGGGGCCCCATCTCTTCCTTCCATGTATCTCGTTCCCTGAAGTGTAACTGGGGGGAGGGAGGTGAGCTCCGGGATAGAAGGTGGAGCCTCCCAGGTCACGTGTGCAAGACGGCGGCCGTGACCCCCTAGCCCTGCCCTTCAGATCGTATGAACACCGAGAAACAAAGTCAGATCCCCCTGGGGTCCTGGAAAGGTCTCTATTCTCAGCGATGGCCCATGAACTTGGCCCCCAGTGCAACTGGGGGGAGTCCCAGCCCCAGGGACAGGAGCCCTGAGGGAGGCCAGGCGTGTTCCCTGAGGCCCTGGGAGGCAAGCCTGACCGGGAGAGCGCCAGCCCTACAGCCGTGTGCGGGAGCTGTCAGGGCCAGGGGCTCTCAGGGACACTGCGTCACACATCGAGGCTCTGGGAGACGGTGGGGTGGGAGCAGAGGGCCACGCAAAGGAAGGCATGACGGGGGTTCACAGTATCTTTGTTCAAACAGTTGAGTCTCCGCCAACCGCCACAGGCCAACCAGCGGTCCAACCGAAGATGGAGAACGCAGCACACGCACGCACTGTCACCCCCACGAACATGTGCACGCGCACACTCACACACGCACACATGTATGCGCACCACGCACACGTGTGCACGCGTATGCTTGCACACAGCACACACGTGGGCAGTCATACCCTCTCACATGCACATACAGCACACACAAGTGCTCAGGGGGACGTGGGCCCATGAGAAGCAGCATCTCGGGGTGAAGATATATATCTGGGCTCAGAGCTCGGAGCAGTCTAATAGGTGAAACCCTCAAACGCCCGCCATCCCCCCGGGGCAGCACTGTCCGTCTGAGAGCAGGGAGTCTCAGAGGCAGCTGGAAACTGCTGAGATCCACCGTGGGAACTGGTATCCCTGGCCAGGCACGGGGCCAAGCTGTCACATGCCCGGATCCCAGAGCGAGCCACTTGCCAAGTGCTCCCAGCACTCCGTGGGCTCAGACATGCTGTGCACGGAGGCCAGGTCGCTGCTCGGACCCTGTCCCAGCCCCCAGACAGGCAGCACCTGTCCCCGCCCAGCTCCTACCTGACACCACCTACTACAGAGGCCCCCAGGAAGCTTCTGAAGACACAGCTGGTCTGCCCTGTGGCCGGGACGGGAGGAGCAGACCTCCATGCTCGGGTCCCAGGGCCCTCTCCACAGGGCAGCACTGACCACAGTGGCTTTGCAGGTTCCTTTGTGCCCAGGCTCAGCCACAGGACAGGAGGGTGACTGGGCCTGGGTGGCCCTTTGGCGTCCATTCCTCTCACTGTCCGTTGTCCATCCCTTGTCAGGGTGTGTGGCTGCCGGCTTCTCAGGGCTGGAAAGCAGGGAGGCCACAGTGTGCACAGTGTGGCTAGCTTGCTTGAGCCTTTCACCGGGTTAGGGTATAAACTCCCAAATCAGATCATGTCTGACTTTTCACTGGGCCTCTGAACCTCAAGGTCTGGGGGTATCTTCCAGGAAGCTGGGCCAGGGATCGTCTGGGGGCGTCTGCCAGGGACCTGGGCCAGGGCGGGCCTGGGGGGTAACTGGAGGAGCTTGGCTTGCAGGTGTGGGGGCTTTGTCCAGCCTCCTACTCCGTGCCACATCCCTGAGCTGCAGGCAGGGGTGGCCCTGGAAGCCAGGGGCTCTTGCGGGAGGGGACACGCGGGGAAAGCGCCAAGCCCCCCATCCTGGGCATGTCACGGGTTGCCAGCCCTGCCTGGCTGGACCTCGCTCTGCTGACGCTTCCATGGAGCAGGCACTGCCTGTGGCTAGGCCTGTCTGTCCCGCCTGGAACGTGCACCAGCCCCGAGGAGCGGGGCGGGGGAGGCAACTTGGACACCGAGCGGGCCGCCTAGAGGAGGTGGGTTCACATGGAGCAATAGGGCCCACTCGCTGGCAGCCGGAAACACAGCAGGCTGGACAGCAAGCGGGAGCCACAGTGTTCAGCCTGAGCCCCTGGCCGCCCTGGTGCCAGGGTGCCTTCCGACCTCTGCTGGCCTCCCCCTGCTCAGAGTCACCCCCGTCCTCGGGTTCCCCCACCTCCACCTGTCAAGGGCCCTGAGGAAGCTCACTGGTGGCATTTTCTGTCACACACAGGCTTGGCCTGTGGTCCCAGGTGGTGGCCCCATCATCCCCGGTCCCAGGCCTGGTTCACCCCTTGGCCCTGTGGGGCCCCCACCTCCTCAGACACCAGTAAGTGAGAGAGGCCACCAGAGCCCTCCTGGGGCAGGGATAGGACAGGCAGCGTCCCACCCACACACAGCTCTTGGAGCGACACCAGTTACGGGCGCTGCTCCTGTGCCGCCAACACCCCCACCCCCTGGCAATGCCTCCAGCCTTTTCTCTCCAGTGACGTTATCCCCCCACCCAAATCCCACTTGCGTCTTCCTTGGGGGTAATACGGGAGCTCACAAAAACCGTTTAATTTGTCCTCTTTCCTATTTTCCGTGCTAGAATTTTCATACTATGTAATATATAATAAAATGTACATATGATAAACATGGAGCTATGCGTGGAGAGAGGGATATAGACAGCTTTTTTACAAGCTCGGCATCGCGCCGCACCCGTTTCTTTGTTTACAAGTTTTCACCGTCACGTGCGTTTTCCCCAGTGTCCTCCGTGAGTGTGTGCTGGACGCCTGCCATGGGCCACGCCGGTGACTGAGACCAACGCTGCTCCTCTCAGAGCTTCCAGTCTGGTGGGGCACAGAGAGCGCGCGTCCGCGGAACACGGAGTTCCGTAGAGACGAACTTCGTCACCTTGAGAAGCGACCTCCGGCGGCTGCATCCCAGGGCACAGGGCACTCCGGGGTAACATTCCGGGCCCCCCAAGAGTCCTGGGACAGCGGCGGCGACAGCAGGCAACAGGCGTTGGCTCTGCGCCAGGCACGGGAAGCTGTCCAGAGTGTTTTGCAAATCTGAAGTCACTAATTCCACCACAGCCTACAGGTCTGCCCCCAGCCCCTCTGTGTAGCTGAGCGTGTGCGTGAGGGACCCTCAGCGGCCGGCCACCGGCTGCTGCCCTCAGAGATCACTGTGCCCAAGCCCGGACCTAAATATGCTGTTGCCCCTGGGCGGTTGGCTTCTGGCCCTTCTCCGGGCCTCCACGACCCTCGGCGCGGAACGTGCTCTCCCGCCGCCTGCCCTGGACCCTGGCCGGTGCGCCTCGAGCGCGCAGAGATGCTTGTCCAGTGCGCCTCCTGGTGGCGGGCCTGCTGCGGTGCGTCACCCGGTTCCCCAGGAGGGCGGTCACCGCCACCGTCCAAGGGGCGGCAATGGCAAGTCGCTTCCTTAGCTCCCGAGAATTGAGAGTCTGGCCATCGCTAGGGGGGGCTGGAATGCGAATGCTTTGTTGGCCTCCAGCTCGTGGGCAGGACGGCCTTGACCCAGACCCTGTGCATCTCCGCTCCTCCAATTTAAGACTGGGGACTTAGACCTGCCGCCCAGAGGTCAGGTTCCCAGGCGCTGGCACTCCTTGCCCTCTGACCCCACGACCCATCACCCCACAAGCTCTGTAGGACAGACAGGCAGACAGACCTTGGCACTTCCATTTAGAGCATCTTGGGTGCCTCCCCGGGCTGGACAATTCTTGGTTCATGTGGAAACTTACCCCAAATAGATCCTTCCCACGATGACCTCCACAAAACAGAGGGCAAAACTCCATCTGCAGTCACCGGGTGCCCTGGTCTCCAGTGATGTGGGGTGTGGAGGGCCTGCTTGGGAGGACAGGAGCTGAGTCAGGATGACCTGGCCACAGCACGGGCGTCTGGGGGCTGCTGAGGCCTTGGGAAGTGAGAAGCTTGCCAGAGATAGAAGACCACCAGTGCACGAGCCGTGAGGGTTGTCTGGGAACAGCCCAAGCCTGGGCAGAGGGAAAGGCACTCTTCCTGTAGCCCTGTCCGGTGCCCCAAAATGCAGCCTGCCTGAGAATCCCCCCCCAGACGCCCCAGGACAAGGGCAAGGGGGAGGGCAGCCCTGGGGGTCAGGAGAGACAGGGAGAATCTTGTGTTAGGAGCTGGGGGCGGGAGCCCTAATCAGGGCTGGCTAGACTTCCTCAAAGTCTCCCCCTGCTTGTTTTCGGGGGACAGGGCTTCCGGGGAGTACAATGTGCACAAAGCAGGCGGTTCCGTCTGGCGACTCCTTCTGGGTCACGCTGGGCTTAACCGGCCCAGGCCCTGGCCACAGCAGGGCAGTCTGTGGGAAAGCCGTTACTGGTTCTGACCAGCACAGCCTCTGCGGGGAGCTGGGGAGTGGGCCCTCTGGCTGCAGGTTAGAAGGATTCCGTTCTGACAGAGCCCTGAGACCAGGAGGGGGTGGGCAATCCCATTCTACAGATGATAGAACTAAGGTGCACAGGTTCTCAGGCCTCGTTCTGCCCCCACAGCAAGGAACCCTGGCCCATGTCACCCAGCGTCCCATCTCAGCGGAGACCTGGCCCAGGCAGGCTTCTCACAATGCTCTCACGGGGTCCTTCAGACACCCCAACACCCCCAGTGCATCCTCTGCCCCCACAGCTGGTGGATCCCTGGGGAGCCGGCCTTGTCCTCCCTGGCGGGCATGCACCCCACTTCTGGATTCGTCCACTGGGGGAGCTCTTCGCGCGTTTGCTGGCTGCTTCCTGCGCCTCTCGCTCTGTCCGAACACCCTCCTGGGTGTGCTCCGCTCACTGTCTCGCTTGCTTCCAGACAACCTCACTGCCGGCCACCAGGAGACAGTTTCCTGTCTTCAGCAAGTGGCTCCGAAGCCCGGGACCCACCCCTGGGTCCCCCCACGGGCCCGCTGGGGGCAGAGTCTTGGGAGGGAGGGAGGCGTGTGCATTCCTGCCTTGAGTCACACCCCAAACCGTGACCTTGAAAACCATGTTTCCCAATCACTGCCCCAAGAGTCTGGGCAGGCTGAGAGCA